TGTGGTGTTGCTGGAGGAATGGACTCACAAGGCTCAGCAACCAGAGGGTCCCACCCGGGAGTGCGTGCAGACCTGTGATGAGGGCACCATCCACGTGAGGCTGGTGCAGAGCACGGCACATTTGGCCTAGACCTGTCCCTGCTCGTGTGACTTGGGTCTTTTCCAGCCCTTGTCTGAAGCTCCGTCTCCCTGTCTGTCAGTGGGAATAAATGGTCTTGAATGTTCCTCCTCCCTTTCCGAAGCAGGATGTCGGATAATGGCACAGCCTTTGTAGGGAGCGAAGACACTTGGGTTTGAATCTCACCTTTCCGGGACCCTGGGTGCTATGGGTGGAGTTGTGTCCTCCCAAAAAAGGTGTGCTGGAGTCCTAACCCCCAGTACCTCAGAATGTGGCCTTATTTCTCTACAGAGGTCATCAAGTTAAAATGAGGGCATTAGGGTGGGCCCGAATCCCAGAGGACTGGTGTCCTTATCGAACGGGAAATTTGGGCACAGAGACAGGCAGGCACAGAGGGAAGATGACGTGAAGAGCCAGGGAGAAGATGGCCACAGCCATCTCCACAACCAAGGAGAGAGGCCTTGACCAGATCCTTCCCTCACAGCCCTCAGAAGGAACCCACCCTGCCGACGCTTTGGTTTCAGACGTCCGGCCTCTGGCCTGTGAGGCAAGACCTTCCTGTTGGAGAAGCCGCAATCTGTGGTGCTTTGTTACTAAGGCAGCCGTGGTGAATGAACACAAGTGGTCTCTGAGTTTCCCGATTAGTAACATGAGGACAATGACACTTGCCTGCAGGGTTGTTTTAAGACTTGATGAGAGAATACATACGAGGCACTTGGCATGGCCCTTGGCATAGAATAATCGCCTGATGAGACCAATGGCTGTTGGTCCTGTGTGGTGGAGCTGCTGGTGTGCCCCGCAGAAGTCAGCCAGTACAGGACAAGAAGGGCTCAAGTCAGACCTTCCAAAGAGGACTGGATCACCTGGGGCACCCCTTCCAAAGCCTCTCCACATATGGAGCAGGCCGCAGCAGTCGCTGTTAATGCAGTGCTCAGTGGTTTCCAGGGAGAGTGGCCTCCGCTCTGATCGAATAGTCCGTGAAGCTGAGGTATCTTTATTTTTATGGCCCAGGTATGCTTTGAGTATGGTGAGCTGCTCTGATAATCGAAGAGGGCAGTAGTCATGGCCATTTAATGGGCATTTTGTAAAGGAGGTGGCATGGTTTAGATGGGAAGGATACTCACGGGATGACCCTGAGCAGATCCATTTCCCTCCTTGGGCCTCAGTTTCCATATCTGCAAAGTGAAGCATATAGACCAATCAAGTCAGGCGTTCTTAAGCTGCATCTGTCAAGGCCTAGAAATTAAGTATAAATTTCATGCACACGCACACATTTTGGGGAACATGTCCACAGCTTTTACGTGGTTCTTGAAGAGGCGTTGGACTCCCAAATTGTCCACAACAACTCGCGTGGAGAGCCTCTCAGGGCTGCTGGTTCCTGGACCTTCTGGGATTCTGGATGCTGATTATGAAGTTGTTTCTAAGCCTCAAAAAGAAGGTCCTACAGAGCTGGCTGCTCTGAGTTACCGAGATGAGAGGGATCAGGAACATATAGAAGGAGCTCCCCAGAGAGCTTATCGCAGGGGGCTTTGCTGGCCAGGGAGGCCCCAGCTGCCCGGCACCTGTGTGTCTGCTTTTGGCCTTCCCTCCTGCTCCACAGGCCCTAGGTGCTGTCCGAGTGGTGCCTCCCAGCCTGACTGCCTGCCCCTCTTTTGGATGCTCCTCCAGCCTAATGCATTTGTCTGCTTCTGTGCTCGCCCCACTCCCATCAAACTTGAAGTAAAATCCAATCCCTTAACATCCCTGCCTGATCCGGCCTCCACCTGCCTCTCTGAAGGCATCTTCCCCCACCCACCCCCCCGGCTCACCGAGCTGCAGCCTCGTGGACCTCTTGTCAATGCCTCAGGCTCTAGGCTTGGTCTGCACTTGGGTTTTTCCTTTGCTGGCCCCTCTCCAGCAATGTTCTTCCCCGTGTCTTCCACTGCCTGGCTCCTCCTTCAAGTCTCAACTCAGATGTCAGCTCCTCCAGGAAGCCTTTCCTGATCCCCCTATCTAAGATAGGTTCCCCTCCCTCTGCCATCCTCCATTGGTGCACTTGGTTTGTTTCCTTTGTAGCACTAACACAATCCGTAATGAAATATTTATGTGTTTTCTTCCCCCGCTAAGATATCAACTCGTGGAGGAAAGAACTTAGTCTTATATGTCACAGTGCCTGGCTCATAGCAGCATTTAATAAATCCTGGAATGCACCCACTAGCATGGCTCAAATTAAAATGATAGGGGGCCAGCCCCGTGGCCTAGTGGTTAAGTTTGGCACACTCGGCTTCAGTAGCCCGGGTTCCCTTCCTGGGCATGGGCATACACCACTCATCAGCAGCCGTACTGTGGTGGTGACCCACATACAAAATAGAGGAAGATTGGTGCAGTTGTTTGCTCAGTGCAAATCTTCCTCAAGCAAAAAGAGGAAGATTAGCAACAGATGTGAGCTCAGGGCCAGTCTTCCTCAGGAAAAAAAATAGAATGAATGACAATACCAAGTGGAACAATTGGAACTCTGATACAGCTGATGCGAGTGTACAATGGTACAAGCACTTTGGAGAATAATTTTGTAGTTTTTATAGTCACATGTACGTTTATCATATGACCCAGCAATTCTACTCCTAGTAGATATTTACCCAAGAGAAATCAAATAAGTAAAAACATATGTCCATGCAAAGACTTGTACACAAATATTGCAGACTTTTTCATAATAGCCAAAACCTAGAAACCAACCAACTGCCCGTCTAGAACAGGCAAGACTCCTGCATCCCCACAGTCTGTAGGGTCAGGAGGAGAGGGAAGCCCCCGAGAGACAACCGAGAATCTTCCTGTGTCCCATGTGGCGGTGACAGTTGAGTGTTGGTGACTGGTAGTTGGGGTGTTGGGCAGGGCTGGGAACAGTTGGGGGCTTGGTTGGGGCTGGGGTCCCCTTGGTGACCCAGAGCTTAAAATAGCAGTGCCTGTGTCTCTCCTCTTCAGACTCCCCTGGTCGCATCCAGCTCTTTTGGATGGTCACAATTAGAATCACGTGTTTTATGTTTGTGATTATTTCTTCGGTGCCATGCACCCGCCTCCCCGGCAGCGTGTAAGCGCCAAGAGGACAAGAGTTTGCCCATTTTGGCCCTGGCTGCAGCCTGGCACCCAGCACAGCACCTGGCCCGGGATGACCCGGTGCTTGGTCCTCATGGTTGTTGAATGCGTGTGGGTTGGAGAAACTCCTAGCGCGTGGAGCACAGGGGTGGTTGTGGGTGTCTCTAGAGACAGAGCCTTGCTGGGCACCATGCTGCCTGGCCCGAGAGCAGGGGACTGGCCGCTTGAGAGAACCTCATGTGGCTGCCACCCGTGCGTGCAGGATTCTTGCAAAACGCCAATTAAGACATTTGACCCAAATTCGGCTAAAAGCCTTTTTCCTGTGTCAAGTTGAGCTAATAATATACATTTATTCATAATTTATGAGGTCTAGTAAGTGGGAACAATTAAGGAAAAGGCCTGGGCAAAACCTATTTCTCTTAAGTGTCACACAGGCCTTTTTCTGTTCTCTGAGGCAGTTCCACCCCCCTGCCTGCTATGAAGCGCTGTTGTTTTTATTATTATTTTTTGTTTGTTATCATGACTGTTAGCTGACATTTAGTGAACGCTTATCGAGCCAGGCTCTAACGTGGCCTCGTGGCATCGTAGCCATGTGAGGCAGGTGGTGGTGTGGCGTTTTACTGGTAAGGCAGTGGAGCTTCAGAGGGGTGATGGCACTGGCGCAAGGCTTCACAGCTGGGGAGTGGGGATCATGATTCCGGGCTGCCACACCCAGGCCCACCCTCCTGATCACTACGGTGTTCTGTTTCTGTGTCCACCTCCCTACTTGGGCCATTTCTCAATCTGCACGGCAGGTCTTGTCTTGGTGCCTAGGGTTAGAGTCGGGACCAAGGTGAGAAGTGATCACCTTCTGATTCAGTTGGTCGTGGGTTGGGCCTGAGAATCTGCCTTATTTCTAACACAGTCCCAGGTGATGCTCACGCTGCCAGTCCTGGGTCCACACCCTGAGCGGCACTGGTCCAGTCAGTGCTGTTACCAGATCCTCCGTGACTCCCTTCTACCCCACCACCGTCATGTGGGTTTATGGCCTTCTAGACCTTTTCCTGTGCCTTTGCGTATGTATTATCGTATGTAGAGAAGCGTGTAGCTTGATTTTGTTTAATTCTCTTTACACACGTGGGATAATACTGTACCTGCTGATACTCTGCAATTTAGCTTTTTATTTAACATATCTTCGAGAACATAGACATCCGCCTCATTCTTTTTCAACAACACCATAGTATTCCATGATACAGGTGATTATAGTTTTATGTATCTCTTGTCTACTGATGGGTGCTCCTCCACGTTTTAGACTTTACAGATATTCCTGTAAAATCCCTGGGAAGATGGGTGAGTGTTTGTCTAGAACATAGTAATCACTTAATAATGTCAGCCATTAGTGTTGCTGTTTTTAGTTGACTCATTATTAATATCGAGAGATTGTTGCCTTCAGAAATCCCCTTTCAGGTGGCAGCAGTTATGGAAAAGAGTAGCTCTCTATTTACAGGCTCTAATAAAGTTTCCAACAAAATGTTTCTGGTGAGAGAAAAGAAATGCTATGTGGGCAGGGCCTTGAGGGATGTGTAGGAGTGCAGAGGAGAAGGTGAGAGTAGCAGGCAGGGTTTGTACTGCCAGGGGTGGGGCTCAGCTCCCAGCAGATTCGACAGTGCGAGAGCATGGAGCAGATCTTTACATTTCTCGGTCACCTGGCAAAATCAGGCCTTGGCCAAAGGCAGCCAAGGGTCCAGGCTGGCAGAGCGATGAGTAAGAGGGTCCCTGTTTAAGTCCAGCCAAGCTCAGCTCTGACGTGTCTCCTTCCTTCCTGTCTCCTCAGGGTGGGGCATCTGGGGAGGAGCAACTCTGCGCTGACTTTCCCGAGCTCGACCTGTCCCAGCTGGATGCCAGTGACTTCGACTCGGCCACCTGCTTCGAGGAGCTGCAGTGGTGCCCGGAGAACCCCGAGACTGAACCCATCCAGTACAGCCCCGAAGACTCGGAGCTCTTCCAGGTATGTCGTCCCGAGCCTCGCCATGCCTCTGTCTGCCCCTGGAGGCCTGGCGCCGCCTTTGCTCATGCACGGAAGTCTCCTCGCCCACCAGAGCTCTTGGGACCCTGTCTTTCCTCCCGAACCTGCACCTGATCTTGGGTCATGTGCCTAGGTTAAGTCATGTGCCTAGGGTGATTTACCTAGTTGGTAGCTGAACTGCATTCAAACCCCATCTGCTGCCTCTGAGCCCTAGGGCCTTATAACTATGACGACACTGTAATGGGAATGACTCACATTTACTGAGTGACTGCCATGTGGCAGGACTGTCCCTGTCTGTGTATATTAACTCACTTAATTCTCTTAACAACTCTCAGACAAAGGTACAGTTATCTCCATTTTTCAATTGGGGCCTAGAGGTTATTTACAAAGAGGCAGGGCCGAGCAGCACAGTGCGTGCGTACGCCTTGCTCCCCCCGTGTGTTCCGTTCTCGGCCTCGGAGGCGCGTGGTGGTTGACGTTTCCTTTAAGATGGCCCCTACTGTGGACAAATATGATGTCAATGAAATAAGATTGGTCATGTTGAAGCTGGGGGATGGGTACATTCGGATTCATTATTCTTTCCTTGCAATGTGCTCCCCCATAAAGATTGGGGGAAGAAGCCATAGCTCCCTGTGCCTGTCCGGCAATAATAATAATAACAACAACAACAACAATAACATACTGCGTGCTGAATGCCGTGGTGCTGCGCCATGAGCATCTTCTCAAATAGTCCTCCTGACGGATTGTATCGTTCCTTCTAGAAATGTTTACAGAGCTCCCTCTGTGTGTCAGGCCCTGTGTTCATCAACGGACTTTACAGAGGGGAGACTGACCCTAGATCAGTCAACACGTAGTGGTCATTATGACGTGGGTGCCAAAGGATAAAACGTGGGATGAGAAGAGCATCTGAAGACTGAGCGGTCAGAAAAGGCCTCTTGCAGGATGCTGCAGCTGAAGGACGAGGAGGGGCCACGCAAAGATCAAAGAGCAGGCCCAGAGCTTTCCAAGCAGAGGGAGCAGTAAGCACGGAGCCAGGGAGCAGGAAAGGTTGCTGGGCTGGGGAACAGAAGGGCTGGAGGGTGGTAGGTGAGAAGGTGCTAGGAGATGAAGTCAGAGAGGTAGACAGGGTCTGGGTCTCATGCTTGGATTTTTCCCAAGCATCTTGTAACCTGTAAGTAAAGGACTATTAATAACCCATTTTACAGGTGAGGGAAGTAAAGCTCAGAGAAGTTGAGTAACTTAGCTGAGGCCACCACAGTCAGGAAGGGTCGGGGCGAAGACTAACCCAGGAACCCATACCCCTCGCTGCTCCACCACCTCCCTGCCAACATTATGAGGATCAGCAGGGCTGGGCTCTTGTTCTGGCTCCATCCAGGAACCCCCATTCTTTATCTAAACAATGAGGAGGAGAGGTAGGCTATGCTGTGCCCTCCCTCTGAGGGGGCCACCTTCCAGAAAAGGCTTTCAGGTTGTGGAGAGCTGACGAGTGAGAGGGCTTTAGGTGCTGTGTGGCGACTGTCCCCACCGAGACTTACAGACCCTCGCCTACGCAGAGACAGGTCAGACCTACTAGCAAGCTCCTGCCAGGGTCCTACTATGTGCATGAAATGGTCTCAGACACAAGTCAGCCTGGTGTGGCCCTTGGGCTCCCAGCCCCTCTCCCCTTCATGCGCTGCGCTCCCCACCTGCTCTCCCAAGACTAGGCCCGTTCCACCCGTCACACACTGATGCACCTATGGGATCAGCGCCTCACACCCCAGCCCCATCATAAGCCCCACGAGGGTGGAGGACATGACAGCATTGTGCATTGTTACATTCCCAGGGCAGAGCCTGGCACTTTCTCCGGGCTTAATAAATATTTATCAAATGAATACATCCTTCGATGCCTGGCTCTCATGTCAGCATCTCCTAAGGCGGTTGGTCAGTTACTTCCTCTCCTGGGCCCCCATCTCATTCTGTGTGTGTCCTTCAGACTTCAAGCTCCTTGAGGACAAACAGCACTTTACTCTTTTCTGGGGCCCTTGCACATTGTAAGACTCAACCATATGTGTTGAATGAAGTAACAGATTGTAGTATTTTCTTTCCTGCCAAAGACCAGGCATGGCCCGTTCCAAAAACCTTGCTGTGGGATTCAGGGGCCATAGGTTCTAATCCTCCCTCTGCCACTAGCTGGGGCAGTTTTCTCGTTTGACCGGTGGGAATCACAGAGCCGTGTCCTAATAGTCCAATGGCACCGTTGCTATGGAGACAGACGGGGAGAGTGGAGAACCAGCTACCGTTACAGAGTCGACAACTCCCCATGGGCAGGGACTTCCATTTCTCTGTGTGCCCAGAGTCCTAGGGCCAGGACCACAGCAGGCCCTTAGTATGTATTTTTTTTTTTTTTAAAGATTTTATTTTTTCCTTTTTCTCCCCAAAGCCCCCCGGTACATAGTTGTGTATTCTTCGTTGTGGGTTCTTCTAGTTGTGACATGTGGGACGCTGCCTCAGCGTGGTCTGATGAGCAGTGCCATGTCCGCGCCCAGGATTCGAACCAACGAAACACTGGGCCGCCTGCAGCGGAGCGCGCGAACTTAACCACTCGGCCACGGGGCCAGCCCCCCTTAGTATGTATTTTTGGAGGAAGCAGACATTTGGTTGTTCTGGCACACTTTGCTGTGTGGCTTTGGGCGAGTAGCTCCCTTTGCTTGGGCCTCATTTCCCCACATGAGGAATGAGGAAGGAACATGGATTCCATCAGTGGTTTCATAATCTGTTGAGGGGAGAGTCACTGGGTCCTTTTAGACGCTGATGAAGTCTATGGACCTACGCCCAGAAAAAAGAGGGGGAAAAACTTTCCTGGACCTCCGTTAAGCCCCTTGGACAGTGGAGGATTTCTGAATGTCCTTCTGATGACCTAAATTCTGTTCTGTGTCATTCCTTCAAGCCACTCTAGGCCCTCAAAGTGCAGCATTTCCCCTCAGCTGTCTTGAAGACTCGTTTTCCTGCGGCTTGAGATCAGCTCAGAAAGGTTGGGGGTGGGACCGAGTCTATTAATAGCCCTTCCTCAGCTGATTAACTCTCCATTAATTTGCACTCCGTTACCAAGCGGAGCAGGGAGAGCCGAGCTAATGGGCCCGGGAAGAGGAGAGGGGTGGCGTGGCTCCTGTGATGGATTATCCTAGGGCCCTGACCCGACGATGCTCCAACCCTACCTGGCTGTTCCAGAGCAGAGCAGCCCAGGGAGGGACGAGGAGAGAGGGGAACGCCTTCTTTTAGTCATTCTGTTTTTGCCCAACCTATTGGGTGCTTCTTGAGGTCTTTGCCATTTTGTGTTCATTTGGCACGGTGCCTGGCACACGTTAAGTCCTTGACAGCTGCACCTCACCCACCCCCACTACCGACTTGCTGTCAGACCTTGACGAGTCTCTTTCCTGGACCTTCACCCCAAAAAGAATGGCATGTAGATTTCCTCGTGAGTGCCAATTGTGATGGATAGGCAGTTGTTACCTGGAGGGTCATGTTAAGAAAGATGCTGGTGTAGGAGGAACTTAAGCCACAGTGAGTTTGTGATATGGGGAAGGGTCACACATAGGCCACATGTTTGACATTCCTGGTCACTGTGTGATCCCTGAGGGCCCTTCCAGCTCTGATATCTGTGATAATGTGTAATGTCTCTGGGCCGTGTTACTCTCCCCATGAAAGAGGGATTTCTCATTCCATCCAGTGCTGATGACTGACTTCCCTCTAGAATATGTTCTTTGAGACGCTAATCTCAGTCTGTCCTTGTTTGGTTCATTCATCTTTCCATTCAGCAGATCTGAACTGAACTGAGCTAGGCCTGGGAGCACTTGAGGATCCTCATTGCTACTTCCAGACTTGGCCTTCCTCCTAGTCCCGGGAAGGAGGTTGGCCAGGGATCATGTCCTCCCCTTTACAGAAAAACAGCAAGGCTCAGAAGAGGGAACAAGTTGCCCAAGATCACCTGCTGGTGGGAGAGCCCAGGTGGTCAGCCCCAAGAATGGTTGTTGAGCCCCAGGTCCCAAGATCCTAACTCCCCGTCAGGCTAGAAAGATGGCTCTGGGAACACAGGGTTGGGGGTCTGGCCTGAGCGTGGGGGTAGGGGCCAGCCAAGGGAACCCCATTACATTCTCAAGCCACAGTCCACTGGCCCCGATCTGCCCTTGGGCCCCCATCCCCAGGGCTGGGGTCATACCCAATCAAAACCTTCTTTTGATTTTTTCTTTTATTCTTAGCTCTGTTCCAAAAATTACAAACGTGTTTGTTCTCTTCTCCCCATGTCCCCCCTTCAAATTACTCAGCTGCTGCTCCGGCTGCAAGGCCTGGAACAGATTTAGTGCAGCCAAAAGGCTGTCACGAGATGTGTATTTCAGAGGAACTTCCTGAAGAAAGTATAAACAGCCTGACCTGGGATGGGAAAGAGTGCTGGGGGAGGCATCATGTGACAGAATGTGCCTCCTGCCAGAACAGGCCCAGCCGCCGGGGTTTACTAAATGAGGCGCTCGGGGCCGCACGTAGAAGCAGTGTGGTCCCTGGGCCTGGGGGCTGGTGGGCCCGGACTGTGCATGCTGACCCTCATGTTATAGATCTTAGACATCAGAGAAGGAAGAGTCTTGGTCCATCTGTGTGAGGTGTGCTCTGTGTTACGTCCTGCGTCTGCCTTGGATTGACTGTGTGACCCTGGACACGTCAGTCAATCTCCATGAGACTCAGTTTCCTCAAATGTAAAATGGAGATTAGACTAGTCCCCCCTTGTAGAGGTTATTGTGAGGGTCGCCTGAGGCGGTATTTACTAAGCCTTTGCATTCCTCTCATCAGCCAAATTCCTCGTCCTAGGCCTTTGCACTAGGATTCCCTCCGCCTGGCATCTTCTCTCCTCAGCCCTTTGCCTGGCTGGTGCCTTCTCATCTTTCAAGTCTAAGTTTAAGTATCAGCTGTCCAGACCAGCCTTCTTTGACCACCCTAAATAGCCTGTAAATCTTCCCACGTTCTTACTCTCCGTCACAGCTTCCTTCTGTCTTCTTCCCAGCCTTTCTCACTCTCTGAAATGATCTTGCTTGTTCCCTTGTTTACCTCTCTTCTCCAATGGAGGGCGGCGGAAAACTCCATGAGGGCATTCGCTGTCCCAGTCTTGGCATGCTGTGTCACCAATGCCTAGACAACGCCAAGCACAGAGTAGCCATTCAGTACACTTGTTTTAGGGGAAGGAAGGGAGGGAAGAAGAGGGGGAGGAGTTGCCACCATCACCACCATCATCATCATCATCACTGTCATCACCACCATCATCATCGCCATCATCGTAGCAGGAATCATCATAGTACTAGTAATAGCAATAGTGCTTATTATGTGGCAGGCACTATTTTCTAAGCATTTTACATACGTTAACTCATTTAGTCCTAAACAATAACCTTACGAAGTAGGTACTGTTGTTATCCCATTTGGCAGATGAAGAAACTAAGTAACTTGCCTAAGGACCTACAATTGATAAGGGTGGGACCTGGAATTCAACCCCCACTCTGGAGCCCAAGCTCCTAACCACCTCCCTGTGAGTGGAGGAGGCGAGCGAGCCCCCGGAACCTTCAGGGAAACGGCAGCTGTTCTATTACTACTGCGGTTGTCACTGTCGTGGTCAAACCCTGAAGCTTCCAGGCTTTCTACCGCCTGCCTGGGCCGCAGGGTCAGAGGGCCTGGGACCTGCAATGGGATGCTGCCACCAGTGGCATAGACCAGCTTCAGGGCTGTGTCCCTGGGGTTGAATGCAGGAGGCTGTGATGTGGAGCTGCTGTCCTTGCTGGAGGGGACTGGTGTGTCTCAGGTGGACAGCCCTGTGCCTGAGGTCACACGCTGATGAGCAGCAGAGCCCAGCCTGGGACTCCCAGGGTAAGACCCTTTCTATTAGCACCTGCTGCCTGCTTATAAACTTCTGTGATTCTTGGAGTCTGTAATACATTTCTTGGGCCTCTGCTGTCCCAGCATACTGAGGATCTGATGGGGAGGATCTGAGAGGGGCTGGCAGGAGGGTGATGGTGATGCAGCCGTGTATGCGAAGCAGCTTTCTACCATGAAGACGGATGAGCCCAAGGCATTGACTAACCGTGTCCCCTCTCTGCCTCTCTGTCCCACCCACACTCCTCTCTTCAGATAATCGACAGTGAGAATGAAGCCCTCCTGGCAGCGCTCACCAAGACCCTGGATGACATCCCTGAAGATGACGTGGGTCTGGCTGCCTTCCCGGCCCTGGACGGTGGAGACGCACCGTCCTGTGCTTCGCCTGCCCCCCTGTCTGCGCCCCCCAGCCCCTCCCTGGAGAAGCCCCCAGCCCCGGCCCCTGAGGTGGACGAGCTCTCGTTGGTGAGAATTTGTTTCCAGCTGAAGTGATGGTGGTGGTCTGGGCTGTGGTGTCTGCCTGTAGGGGTGGTGGGTGCGGGGAGACCAGCTCCAGCCCCTGCAGGGGTCTCCATGTAGCACCGGCCCCGGGGTTCACGGCAAACAGCCTGGACAGGGCATGGGAGGCCTCCCTTTGCCCACCTGTATAACTAGACTAGCCAGAGGCTTCCCCTCTACTCTCTAGGCCTTTGGGATTTCATGGATTGACCTTAACTGTGTGTTAAACCCTTGAAATTAGAGGCAGACATTTTCCTAAAGATTATACATGCACACAGAGTAAAAATTCAAGCAGGAGACATGGACAGTTAAAAGCAAAACCTCCATACCAGTCACATAGTTGCTTTTTCCTTCCCCACACGTAACCATGGTTACTGATCTGTTATTTGACTTTCCTCTTCCACCTTCTTTTATTTTTTTACTGCAAAAGGGAGCCTCCATTATCCTCTGCTCTGCACCTTGCTTTTCTCAGTCAACTGTGTGTCTTGGAAACTTCCAGACAAGCACACGGAGCACTGTTTCATCCTTTGTGTTGGCTGCATAGTGTTCCTTTGTGAGGGTGTACCATCACTTACTTAACCAGCCCCCGGTTGATGGGCATTTATGTTCTTTCAACTCCTCCCTTGTTCCAGTGCTGTGGTCGCTCTCCTGGTACAGGCCTTTGCATGCGTAAGTGGATAGATTCCTAGAAGTGGAATTCCTGGGTCTACAAGCGCGTGATTTTTCACTTTAGGCGGATACCTCCAGACTGCCCTCCAGAGAGGTTCGACTGGTTCTACTCGCACCAGCAAGCTCAGTGCTGTCGGTGTGAGTCTGTGTGGAATGTGGAAACACACACACGGAACCACAGCTTTCTGGGGAGAAGGCCTCAGCTTTTATGAGATTCTCAAAGGGGTGTAGACCTCAAAAGTGGCTGGAACAGTTGCTCTTGACTCAGGCTGAGGGTGCCAGAAGCCAAGATGTCATGAGGTGTGAAGTCCATCTTCACACGACCTGTCTTGGGCTCCTCACCTTGGTTCTGTAGCTCCTAGGGGTTGATAAGACTCAGCTGGAGAATCAGAGTCTTTCGGAGCTGGGAGGGCTCTGAGGGGTCTTGGGTCGTGGAGAGCTTGAGCTGCAAAGGCCCTTGGTGATCATCAAGCCCAACTCTAGGGAAACTGAGGCCCAGAGTGGGGAGGGCCTCTCCAATGGTCACACAGCAAGTTGGTGTGCCGGCGAAGACTAGAACCCGGGTGTTCTCACTACTTGGCCAGGACCCCTTTCCTTCTTTCCCACTGCCTTCAGGTTCCCCAAAGCATTGTGAAATGACTAGTAAGCTCCTACTGTGTGCTGGGCACAAGAGGGTGTTCAGTCCCACATTGTGGCTCCTGCTGATAGGGGTCCTGCTTCCTTCCAGACTGGAATCAGACCACCTGGGTTTGAATCCCAGTTCCAACAATTAATGCTTTTGCGTCCCTTGGGCGCCTAACCTCTCTGACTCCACTTCTGGGTCTACAAGGCAGGTTTAATAGCGGTGCCCGTCTCAAAGGCTGTTAGGAGGAATACGGCAGGTAATACATGTGAAGCACTTATACTGTGCCTGGCACATACAAGTTGCTCAATAAATGCTATCTGAGTCAGAGTTCTGGCACGACCATTAGCGGTAGTAACGAGGAGTTCTCAGTGCCATTTCTGTACGCGGCTCTGGAGCGGGATCAAACCTCTGAGAGGCAGAGAGCGACCCCTGCTGGTTCCTCGGTTTATTTGCTTGTTGTTAGTAACAGGTGTTATTGAGCACCTGTTAACAGGTGCTGTGCTGGGCACACAGAAAGGGCACTCACGGTCTAGACTCCCAGCACACTGACAGACCTCTAGAAAGGCCCTGCGAAGTTATCGAGACGCCTGGTTCTTAACCTGGAGTCGTGGGTCCCAGAGAGTCCACCAATAGACTGATGGGGACCCAAGGACCTCTCTGCATCTGTGCGTGAGGTCAGCAGCTTCTCTCATGTTCTTAGAGGGACTCCTGAGTCAAAAAATGTTCAGATCCAGTCATTTAGTCCACTTGCCCCCATTATAGCAATGGAGAAACCAAGGCCCAGAGAGGGAGAGGACTCACCCAAGGTCTCGGTGAGATGGACCTGAGCTGGGTTAGAACCAGGTCCCTTCCCTCCAGCCCAGGGATCTTTTCCTGTCCACGCCAGAGAATCACAGATGTACGCCTGTTGGTGTGGGGTAGTGGGGATCCTCCAGCCCCTACTGGAGTGTGGAGTGACCTTTTCTCTGGTTCCGGGGCCTTTGGCACTCCTTGCTGGGGTGACCTGGTGAGCGTGTCCTCCAAGGAAACACTTGGTGCTGTAGCAGAAGCCCTTCATGCTTCCCGACTTGTCCTCAGCCCCGGCTGTGGTCGGATCCCTGGTGGAACTTCCGGGCGCTCTCAGCTCCCTGCTCTCTTGGCTGGGAGACGTTGTGCACCTTGCCCACTGGGTGCGAAGTGTAAACAGTCTCAGCGATTTTTATAGAAAAATTAGAACAGCCAGACAGCCTTAAGCGTAGCATGCGTCCACTTGTGTAAAAACAGTTGGGTGGGTTGGAGGTGATATGTGCGTACATGTTGTTGTATGATCGAATCCCCCTCGTCATAGGGTCACATGAAGGTGGTTAATAATAGTTGCCTCTGGGAGGGAGAAAGGGGACCTCGGGCAGAAGGGAAACTGGCTTCTACTTGTCCACCCGTTAGTATTGTGGTGTATATTTTTTTCACCATTTACAAGTATTACTTGTTTAAGAAATTAATTTTTTTAAAAGAAATATGAATAAGCCAAAAAACCAAAAGAGAAATCCGCTGGAATCCCACACTGAAGGATCACTCTGGTGTTCTTCCAGATTGTGTGTGTGTGTGTGTGTGTGTGTGTGTGTACTCCAGGTGTATGCAGAGTGCCCCAATAAAGTATATACATCCTATTTTAACAGTAGAATGGACAGACATTACCCGAGATCTGTTTGGGTTTCTCAAAGTCATAGATATTCTTCTTGGATTATCAACTCTGAAAGGATTGACTTTTTTTGGCATTCTTCTGTGTGTTTGGGATTGTTCGACAATCTGCTTCTGTACTGCCCATGTTGGGAACATATTCAAGGTCATTAGTGCCGTGGTCCTGTGATGACCCGGGGTCGGGGCGTGGTCAGTCCTGGGGGGCGAGCTCTGGGCTTGGGCCTCTCTCTGCCGTGCCCTTCTCTATGTCTTCCAGCTGCAGCTCAGCCTCGGCCCCTCTCCCCTCTGCTTCTCCTGCAGCTGCAGAAGCTCCTCCTGGCCACATCCTCCCCGACATCAAGCTCTGACATCCAGAAGGAAGGGACCGCCTGGCGCCAGGCAGGCCTCAGGTCCAGAAGTCAGAGGCCTTGTGTCAAGGTATTTCTGCACATGCCCCAAAACCCTCCCAGGCCCCCAGGTGGCCTCTGGGGCATGACAGCCTCAGCTCTTGCTAGGGGGTGTCAAATGCAGTCAACTCCCAGTTTCCCTCCTTGCTCCTCACACAGCCTTGCAGCTGGTATGCTGGGCACTTCTTGAGACCCAGGCCAGTTCAGGGTTCTAGAAAGAGCACGGGACTTTCTCACACACTTCGGTGTTGCAGGCACTGTGTTAGACGATGAGTGAGAGCAGGGACAGGGAAGATGTGGCTACCCTCAGGGGCTCCTTCTAATGGGGTGACAGCGAAACGTAAGATCCTCACCTGTTGTGGAGACCACAGGCAGGAGCTTGGGTTTCTTTTGAGGGAAGCCGTCAGAGAGTTGAAAGCTCCATCATGAACACCCAGGAGTGAAGTATGTCCCTTTTCCTCCTTGGACTGCATCTTCTGAGACTTCTAGGAGAGGCTTAATAGGTGATTTCCCAGCGTTCCTGTTACTCAAAGCCTGCACCAACCCTTGCCATCTTGTCCCTGGGCACTTCTGCAGGGGGCTGTTCATACCATCCCACACCCTCTGGGCAGAAGCGGGATGGCATCTGTCTCAGAGAGTAGCTCAGTGTAGGAGCCTCTCGCCTGCCTGGGCTCCCCTGGGGGGTGGCCCTTGTCCCTGTGTCCCTTCCCTATTTCTTCTGGCTGACCTCCCAAAACAAAGGTCCCCCCCTCATGTTCCATTCTGTCAGGGGGCAGCAGCTAAGCTCCATTGTAAGCCAGCTCTCTGTCCCCTGGGAGGCTAAGAAGCCCCGGGGAACTGAGACACACCTGACAGCCATTCTAGTCCCAGCAAAGAGACCGTTGCACTGGGAGGAAAGGCCCTGTGTGGACAAGTGGTGACAGAGAAGGCTGGAGAGAGTGGTCACCTGGGGCCAGACTGCAGGGGGCCCCAAATACCTCGCCAAGGGGCCTCCCTTTTATCCTATGGGCACTGGGAAGCAGCTGAATTTTTCTATTCCTTATTTTTTTTTAACAGCTTTATGGAGGTGCCACTTGCATATCCTAAAAGGCACCTGTTTTAAAGGTCCAATTCAATGATTTTTAGTAAATTGACACAGCTGTGCGGCTATGAACACAATCCAGTTTTAGAATATTTCCAGCATCCCAGAAGGATCCCCATGCCCCCACTTACAGTTAATCCCTGTGCCCACACCCAGCCCCACGCAACCACTAATGTACTTCCTGGCGCAACTGCTGGAGGCTGGAGTTCAGAGGACAGGATGGGTGGGGCGGGGCTGTGGCAGCGAATCTGGAAGGGGTGAAATCCTTGCTGGGCACTCTGTTAGGAGGCTGGTCATTCCTTCGTTCCATCACCCAAGCACTGCCAGGTGCCAGGCTCTGTGCTGGCAGCTGGGGATAAAGTGGATGAAACCTGGCAGGTCCAACGATCCAGGTGAGACACACTGGGCCTGGCCAGTGGCTGCAGGGGTGGGGCTGAGGGCAGGAGCAGTATGGGCCTGCCCCCTCACTCTGGCCTCTTTCCCTCTCTAGATGGACAGCACCCAAGACAAGAAGGGCCCCATGACTCAGTCTCAGAGCCGGAGTTGCACGGAACTGCATAAGCACCTCACCTCGCTGCCATCCTGCCCCCAGGCTACAGCCCACTCCTCAGACACGAGCCTGCAGCCGCCACGCCCCCTTAGTCCCTGGCTCCCTGCCAAGGAGGATGAGGAGCTGGGTGAGGACTGCCCGAGCCTCCAGGCAGCTCCAGCCTCTCCCCGGGACTACTCAGCACCAGGCAGAGCAGGCCCTGGTGCCCAGGTCTCCCAGGAGGACATGCAGGCGATGGTGCAGCTCATTCGCTACATGCACACCTACTGTCTCCCTCAGAGGAAGCTGCCCCCACAGGCCTCGGAGCCAGCCCCGCAGCCCTGCAGCAGCCCCTTCAAGCAGATCAGACCCCGGCCCCTGTCCCAGCACCCTTCCAAAGCCGCTTGGGCTGAGTTCTCCATCCTGAGGGAACTTCTGGCTCAAGATGTCCTCTGTGATGTCAGCAAACCCTACCGGCTGGCCACGCCTGTCTACGCCTCCCTCACGCCCAGGCCCAGGCCCAGGCCCAAAGACAGCCAGGCCTCCCCTGGCCACCAGTCCCCCGTGGAGGAGGTGAGGGTCGCACCTTCTCCCAAGAGCACCGGGCCCAGACCCAGCCTGCGCCCACTGCGCCTGCAGGTGAAAGGGCACGTCAGCCGGTCGGCCAGGCTGCGGCAGGAGGAGGAAGATGAGGAGGAAGGAGAGGAGGAGGAGGAAGAAGAAAAAGCAGAAGAGGAGGAGGATGAGGAGGAAGAAGAGGAGTGGGGCCGGAAAAGGCCCGGCCGAGGCCTGCCGTGGACCATGCTGGGGAAGAAGCTGGAGAGCTCGGTGTGCCCCGTGCGGCGCTCCAGGAGACTCAACCCCGAGCTGGGCCCCTGGCTGACGTTCACCGACGAGTCTGAGTCGCTGGTGCCTGGGGAGCCCCAAGGAGCTCTGCCCTCACTGCGCTTGGCTCCTGGGGCCTACGACATGGAGCGGGAGCTGGGCAGCCCCACGGACGAGGACAGTGGACAAAACCAGCAGCTCCTACGGGGACCCCAGATTACAGCTCTGGAGAGCCCCTGTGAGAGTGGGTGTGGGGACACGGATGAGGACCCCAGCTGCCCGCGGCTCTCTTCCAGAGGTAGTTGGAGTCGGTGGTCTGCAAGAGAGGGGGCAGGGATGGGGTGTGGCATCTCCCCCTGCGCTGTTGGGCAAGTCCCTTCCCCTCTCGGGCTCTCAGCTTCCCCCTCCTGTACACTGGGCTAGCTGGGCAGATCTTCAAGAATTACCCACACATCTCTGAGTTTTTCATCACGCCTGGGTCAGATGCTACTTAAACGAGGAATGAGATGCCTGCCTTCATGGGGCTTGTGTTTCACGGGGGGAGACAGGCAATCAAAAAGTAAATAAGAAAAGAAGTTCATTGCAAATTGTGAAAGGTGCCCTAGAGACATCCTGGGCGATGATGTAACCGAAGGTGTGAGTATATTAAGCTCCACAGTGAAGTTGAATTGTAAATGGTGACAACAGGGGTGATAGTAATGCCACAGTTATCTGTTGTGTGCCTGAGCCAGCCCTGGTCTAAGACTTAACACAGATTACCCCTCACAGGAATCCTGTGGGGTAGGTACTGTTATAATCCCCATTTTAAGACACAGAGATGGGAGGCACAGAGATACCTAGTCATCGGTTCCGCTGGGCAGTCCTGCGTCCATCCCAGGCAGAGCCCACAGCACTGGTCTTGGGAGCTGGGAGCTCTGTGCCACCGTGCTACACCATTTGGCCAGAAGGGGTCGCCCTTGTACCCATCTGCTGTTTCTGCAAAATCATCTAGATCCAACCAGCCATTAATGTTGCTGAGACCCCCGGAATGAAGGTGGATTCCGGTTGTTGCTGCCCTTCCCTAAAAATGGCAGGGGCTTTTGGGTCACGTGCCTGAAGGGAGCTGTGCTTGATACCACTGAAGTTCGGGGTCTCCTAAACATCCATTAATGATGCCATGTTGGGGAATCTTATTTTTTTCTTTTTTGTCTTTTCAGACTCTCCCAGGTGCCTCATGCTGGCCTTGTCACAAAGGTAGATTTTTGGAATTATTGGTTTATTATTCCATAAGACTTTGTCCTGTTGGGTGTGTACATTGGGGTGGGCAGCTGGGGATCTCTGGGTGGTTCATCAGTCCCTGAGCCTGGCCCTGTCCCCATGCCCCTACCCTGATGGCCATGTGGGGCCCTCAGGAGCTAAGTTCCCTTGGGAGGGAGTTTGTTTGTAGAAGCTGGTCTCTGCAGGCCCTGGGGAGAGATGGGGAATCAAGACCTCAGCCCATTTCATAGGCTGTCCTGTCCAGGACCCAGGAAAGAGTTCATTTCTCCACGGGGAAAAAGCTGATAATGCTGTGTGGCTTTGGGCAAGTCTCTTGCCCACTCTGGGCCTCAGGAGCTCCATCTGTAAAATAAGGAGGTTGATGATGCTTGTCCTCCCCTCACCCTCCAGCAGATCTTTTTCACATCTCCCAGGAGAGCTATGCAGCTTTGAATTCCTCTGACAGCCAGGGTTGGGGTTCCCAGCAAGTTGTTCCCAGGCCTCACTTTGTGAGCAGCAGGACCAGGGTCTGTCACTGTGTCCCCTTGCCCTCCTTGTGTTCTCTGGGAGGTGGGGCCTGCTGCTGATGGGCCTCTTGTCTTTCTGTCCTCCCTGCCCCCACCAGTGACCCTCCTTTCGACAAGAAGAGTTTTGAGCAGAACCTGACGGTGGAGCTCTGTGGCACAGCAGGTGAGCCGGGCACTCAGCTGGTGGGGTGCCCTCGGCAGAGCTGGCAAGAGCCCCAGCAACAGGTCCCCCACACTGAGCAGCCCCTGGCCAGTGAGGGGGTACCCCATGGAGCCCTCCCTGCTGCCACTGCCCAGGCTGCACCGGGTCTTGAGATGCATAATGAGGGCGTTATAAGGAGGAGGGTCAGGGCCTGGGCTCAGCCATTCGGCTGCCAGCAACCAGCACATGAGCTGATGGGAAGAGAAAGAGACACACATCTTCCCCCAAAGGAGTCCGCAGTCCCCTGTGGGCGGCAGACTCATACCATGGCAAGTACTGTTCGTTATGTGCTAGTTCCAGAGAATGTGCAAGAGCTCCAGAGCACTGAGGAAGGGGCAGGCAGGGTGGGAGTGTGGCCTGGGAAGGTTCGCAGGGCACCCAAGGCAGGGCCACTTGCAGGGTGAGTAGAAGCTGGAGAGATGGGGAAGGGCAGGGCGTCCCTGGCAGCAGAATCGGCAGGAGCAAATGCATGGAGGAGCAAAGGTACAGGTGCATCTGAGGAGACTGTCACCTGGTGCAGGGAGGTGGAAGAACTGGGAGCTCAGGAAAGAGCAATCAGGAAAGGCCGAGAAGAATGCCAGGCTGAGGGCTTTGGTCTGGATCTTGTAGACTCAGGAACCCCAGGGAGGGAGAGGGCTCGGGCATTTCGCGAGTTCCCTCGGGTGCATGAGGGAGGATGGAGGCCAAGGTCAGGTGCAGGAGTATAAAGGGCATTATGGTGGTCACATCCAGGTGGGAGGTTTTAGCCATGGTGCCTGCCCCCTCTCCACTCTGGCAGACATCTGAGACAGTTGGGAGGGCTTGTTGAGTGACTAGATGTGGAACCGGAAAAGCTATCTCGGATGACCTGGAGGCTTCGGCTAATTGCCAGGCTACAGAAGGGATGGTAAGTGGATTTCATCACATGCCAGCTCCGAAGAATTGAGGATGGGCTGTGTGAGAAGGAGTCCCAGGCCACATCCAGGCTCAGCCAGCAGCGCTGTGATTGATTAGTGATGCCTGCCATCCACTGGGTTGGGGGAGCAGGGGCATGTATGCCACTTCTTTGCCATCCCAAACTAGGGTCTCGGTGTCCCTTGGGGAAGTGATCTGTCTTCACCTTGCATTTCTCCTCTTGCTTGGGTAGGACTCACCCCGCCCACCACGCCTCCGTACAAGCCCACAGAGGAGGACCCCTTCAAACCGGACATCAAGCACAGCCCAGGCAAGGACATGGCTCCCAGCCTCCCCTGCCCCAAGGGCCTCCAGCTTGGGGCCACCACAGGGCCTGCCCACAAGCTGCCAAAGAAGCGCCCCGAGCGGAGTGAGCTCTTGTCGCACCTGCGGCATGCCACAGCCCAGCCAGCCTCCCAGGCTGGTCAGAAGCGCCCCTTCTCCTGTTCCTTTGGAGACCACGACTACTGCCAGGTGCTCAAGCCAGAGGGCGCCCTGCAGAGGAAGGTGCTGAGGTCCTGGGAGCCGTCTGGGGTGCACCTTGAGGACTGGCCCCCGCGAGGTGCCCCACAGGCTGAGGCTCAGCCCTCCGGCAGGGAGGAAGACAGAAGCCATGATGCCGGCTCCTCCCCGAAGGACAGCATGCTCTTGAGAGACCACGAGATCCGCGCCAGCCTCACCAAGCACTTTGGGCTCCTGGAGACTGCCCTGGAGGACGAAGACCTGGCCTCCTGCAAGAGCCCCGAATACGACACTGTCTTTGAGGACAGCAGCAGCAGCAGTGGCGAGAGCAGCTTCCTCCTGGAAGAGGAGGAGGAGGACGATGAAGATGAGGACTCGGGGGTCAGCCCCCCTTGCTCTGACCACTGCCCCTATCAGAGCCCGCCGGGCAAGGCCAGTCGGCAGCTCTGTTCCCGCAGCCGCTCCAGCTCCGGCTCCTCATCCTGCTGCTCCCGCTCACCCGCCACCCGAAGGACCTTCAGGTACAGATGGGTGGCCTCCAGAGGGACGGTGGGCAGCTGAGGACCCCCGTTGCCAGGGTATCCGGGGAGAGAGGAGCTCTGAACCTGGGGCCGTGTCACCCTGTGTGCCTGTGTCCTGATCAGAGGCTCTGGAGGTGGTCTCCTCAGGGGTTATGGGCAAGTCCTGGAGGCAAGTGAAGCTTGCTGTGTGATGTTAGGAGTGGCCCAATCTCCTGGCCTCAGGGGAGGGAGAAAACCCACTTCCTGGTCATTGGTGGCCTTAGGTCTAAATGAACGTGCCCCTTATTCATCTGTTTTCTGCTTTTCTATTTGTAAAATGGGTAGGTTTTTGTGTAAACGTATATATACTCATACAGTTAATAACCTATGTGACATTTACATGTAAAAGAAAGATTAACATGATTCTAATCTGGGCTCTGGAAAATGCCTGGATTAAAGCAATGATAAGGTTTCTTCCCATTTCTCGATCCTGCTGAGTGACCTCCAGCAGCCAGCCATCCCCTGGAATCTCCTTTCCACAGGGATGATGTGTCGTGAGCCTGTTTGCTCAGACCATCTTGGCTCACTGAGCCAGACTGCAAGAAGGAGCTAGTCCAAAAGTCCTCGGGGAGCGGGAGCAGAAAGGATGGAGGTTTGGCTTGTTTTGGTGGAGACAGGTTGCTTCTCTGCCTGATCACAGCAGCACCTGCCTCTTGCTAGGAGAGTCCTGATGAGGGGGTTGGTGCAGGTCCCAAATCTTATGCCTGCGATGCACCCAAGTGACCACTAGATGGTGCTCCTGGGCCTAGCACAGTGCTACAGCCACCTGGATGGCCTGTTACCAGCCAATGGCTGGGCCCCACCTGCTGAGGATCTGATTCTTTAGGTGTAGGGGTGGTGGTGGAGAATTTGCATTTCTAACAAGTTCCCATTTGATGATGCTGTCGCTGGAGTGCCATACTCTGAGAACCAGAATTCAGGCAATAGAAAGGTAGCTTTTCCAAGGAAACTTCAGCTTTATATTTACACTAACAGCTCCTACCTGTTTGGAAACCTGATTAGAGCAAAAGCTCCTGTCCCCATTAAAATGTGCAAAGAGGGGCCGGCCCCATGGCCGAGTGGTTAAGTTCGCGTGCTCTGCTTTGGCGGCCCAGGGTTTCACCAGTTCGAATCCTGGGTGCGGACATGGCACTGCTCATCAAGCCATGCTGAGGCAGCATCCCACATGCCACAACTAGAAGGACCCACAACTAAAAATACACAACTATGTACCAGGAGGCTTTGGGAAGAAAAAGGAAAAATAAAATCTTAAAAAAAGAAAAAAACGTGCAAATACATCTAACTGAATGTTCACTTTTAGGGGGTTTGTGGATACCCCAGAACCTAATGTTAAGAAGCCCTGAACTGTCTGTGACTCAAAATGAGTTCCCCAGTGACTTCTCTAAAAGCCCTTCCTTCTCTGTAGAAGGCAGGGCTTCCATCAGACCTCTCCGAGCCCTCTTTTCGGCTCCATTCTGTTCCCAGGGGTCACTGTGAGCTAGATGGCTCGGTGTCCCCCTTCGACAGTTTTATCTGCAGTGTCTGCTCAGAAGCTCCTAAGGTTCTCTTCCTGTTGAGGCGCGTGCCCTGCCTCCTTCCCCTCCTGACCAGCGCTGGGGTGTTGGGGTGGGCATGCACTTGCTGCGAATATTTGGGAGCCTCTCTAGAAACCCCCATAGGTTCTCCTTTTCCTCTTCCCGCTTTTGGGCCACTTCAGGGCTGGCTTTCCCTGCTCCCTGGAGAAAGTTAATTGGTCAACTCAGGTCCTGCTCAGCTGCCTGGTGGGGCTCAGCACCTCGTCCACTAGGCATCAGCCTTGTCCAGACTCACACTTCTTCACCTGTGCTTCTGCTACCAAACATCGGGCAACAGGCGGGGTTTTGAGTGGGTTTAACGACATAAACCTCAAACCCCACGGTACCTTCCAGTCACTCTCAGCTCAGGAAACTAGCCTTTCTGTTGCAAATGGATGATGATACTATGGTTGTATAGCCCTTATATTCGCAAGTCGCATCCCCTTCTCTCACCCTATTTGAGCTCCAGAGATGCCCTTGGAGGGTGTGTCTGCTTCTTTATCCCCATTTTATAGATGAGGAAGCTGAGGCTCAAAGAGGTTCAAGAGGAAAGCATAGCGAGCAGTGATTGAGCAGTTCCTGGGCTGAGCACTCCTGTGCATTTTCTGATTTGATGCTCACCAATGGGCGAGGAGGCGGCTACAATGGATTCTCCCTATTTGACAGAAGACCTGAAGCTGAGAGGGTTTGAGGAACTGGCCCAGGGTCACCCAGCAGGGAGGTGGTAGAGCCAGGATCCCAGTGCAGGCTGTCGGACTCAAGGTCTCACACTCTTGTCCTCTGAGCTGTCTTCCCAAGGAGGCAGACGGTGCGTGGCTGAGCCGGACTCGCCCACGCCTCCCACACTGTGCTCCTTGCACTGCAGCCGCCCGGCGCTGGCGCTCCAGGGAGAGGGCGGTGTGCAGACAGGCAGGAAGGCACAGGCGTGCAGCTCCCGGGAGCCTCCTTGGCTTGCGTATCCAGACGGATTCACCTGTTAGCCACACCGGACGTGGGGGCCACGATGCCAGGGGTTGCTTCTTTGCCAGGCACCAACCCCTGGAGAGCGCTGGGTCTAGGATCAGCAGACTTCCCTCTAGCTCTGGCTTCCCCACCTTCTAGCTTTAGGCGAATCCCATATTGAACCTGAGCCTCAGGGTTTTCATCTGGAAAATGGAGCAACATCAGACCTCATAGGTTTGGTTTTTTTCATCAGATCAAATACGATGATGAAGTGAAAGGGTCTTTCTACCCCTAATGGTGTAAGAGAGCAAGGTTCAGAGGGTTGTGATGAGCAATGCGGTGGTTCCCAGCGATCTGGTCCCAGAAGCTGGCAGGGAGGCGTGTGTCAGAGTGTTCAGACCCACACACAGCCCTGGCTGTCGAGGCCGAGGCGGCAGGCTGGGCTTCTGCAGGAGGGAGATCTCCTAGTCCTGCCCTCGTGAACCAGTCCTAAAGGAGCATCCCTTGCCTCCTGGAGCACCCCCGTCCCCCGCCCGGCCTGGTCCCTCCCGAGAGTGAGTGCCTCTGCTTTGCTTGTTCACTGACAGATGTGAGAGCAGAGGGCCGTGTTCAGACGGAACGCCAAGCGTCCGGCATGCCAGGAAGCAGCGGGAAAAGGCCATTGTAAGTGACCTGGGGCCCGGGAGCCCAGAGCGATGGGGATGAGCAGGGGCGTCAGGAAGTGCTGGGCTGTGTAGACCTCAAGTCCTTGGAGGCCGGTGGTGGCCTGCAGAAGAGAATCATGTTTCTCTCATTTAAGAAAGCTCAAGGGTCACCAAAGGGCATCTAAGGTGGCACCGTGCAAAGTGTGGCCGAGGGCCTGGCCGTGTGGCCTGCAGTCGGTGGTGGTTGAGGCTTCCGCATCAGGGGCTCGGCAGGGCTGAGAGGGCAGGCTGTGGGGGAGGGGGGAGCAGGACCACCAGGCAACAAACCACCCTGCCACCCCTTCTGTGTGACCTTGGACAGGTCCCCCAGCTTCCCTGAGCCTTGGTTTACTCGTCTGTACAAAAGGGAGTTGGACCTTGAGCTTCCTGAGGGTCCGCCAGCTTGACCAGGCCTAAGGGACCAAGAGAGCCCGTCCCTTGCTCCTCACCCACCTCCCTGCTCCTCCCCAGAGTTAGTCCACAGGCCCAGGCCATCCTGATGATCCTGCTGCAAAGCACCCCACAGAGAAGATTCCTCAGGAAGCTGCAGTGGGGGGCTGGAGCTAGCCCCTTCATGCACTAGGAAGGAAGGAAGGGAAACTAAGAAAGTACGGAAAACCAGACTCCACTTAATTGCTTTCCCCCTGACGGGTGCTTCAGGGTGGGGGGACACATGAGGTATGCATACCCCAGAGGTACACAGCTGTCGGCAAGCAGGTACCTAAAACCACAGGCTGTGGCTGAGTGTCTTCTTGGAATCCATGTGTGACCGTTCAGGAGTTGTGACATGCCTGGCAGTGTCCCAGGCCCTGGACAACAACCGTGAACCAGACATACGAGGTCCCCACTCCCATGGTGGGGACAGAAAGGGGAAAAAGACAACAGACTCATAAACAAGGAATAACAGTATAATTACAGATTGGGAAAGTGCTCTGAAATTAATCACGTCACGACTGAAACAGTTGAAATAAACAGTCGTGTTTTGACTGTTGGGAAGGATGTATTTACATGGTGGTCTGGGAGGGGCATCTTCAAAGACCTGGGCCCCGAGGGGTGAAAAGGAGCCAACCAAGCAAAGATTCGGGGAGAACAGTGGAGCGGAGGCAGGAAAGGGCACTGTGAATTCAGGGAGCTGCGAGAAGGTCGCAGAAGGCATTTGTGTATTGAGCTGAACCCGAACGGTCCTAGTGTGGGATGCACAGTTCCTGTGAATGCTGTGGCCCCGAGGCCTGGGCTTTCTTCTTTGCCGTCTGGGCTGTGAGAATGAGATGGCTCCAGAATCACTGACTTAACTCGTTCCCAGAGAAAGCCTGTCCAAACCAGAGCCTGTGGGTTTTGCCCACAGGAGCACGGGTTTCCAGGAACGCGGCTGGAGTTTCTCCAGCAGGTCAAAGCGATTCTTCCAATGGCGGTGGCTCTAACTGGATCCAGTTGCAGATTGGAGAGGAGAGATGGGGAGGGTCCAGCGCTGTTTCCCCCACCCTTTCCCTCTGCTGGGTTTCCAGGGGCCCTTGGGCGTGGCACTGAGCTTACCTGAAGGTGACCTCGTGGTCAGTGTCAACACACTCCTCTGGCAAAACCAAAGATAATGGTGCCTCCAGTAGCTCTACACCGCCCACTCCGTCCCATTGCCTTCCTCCCAGCCTCCTCTGACGCGAGCAACCTGGCTCCTGGCGCTCACCCCTTGCCTTCCTTGGTAACTTGCCTTTCCATCCCAACACCTGCCCTATCACCAAAAAAAACTCAGACTCAAATACAGAAACTACTGAGTATGCAGTTCTGTTGACAGTGATGAATCCCTCTCCTTTCTCTGCCCAGCCTCTGCTCTTTTCCTTCAAGTAAGCAATTGCTTCCTTTAGGGGCCACTTCCCCATCCAACACTCGGCAGCCCCCCTCCTCCAACAAGGCAGGTCCCCTGGGATAGTGACTGTGATTGTCCTCTCTGACTCCAGCCCCAGCTGCTATCACTTGCTCGGCCAGGAGCCATGGACTGTTCACTTGGACTCCATGGGAGCCCGCCACCAAGGGGACCCCAGGAAACCAGAAAAATGATGCCGTCCCTCTGTGTCCCTCTTCCTGAGCAGGGCGAAGGCCGCGTGGTGTACATTCGAAATCTCTCCAGCGACATGAGCTCCCGTGAGCTGAAGAGGCGCTTTGAAGTGTTTGGCGAGATTGTAGAGTGCCAGGTGCTGACGAGAAGCAAGCGGTGAGTGGAGTCAGTGCTATCGCAGAGGAGGGGCATGGGGGGGCAGAGGTCCTGATCCAGAGCTGGCCACACAGAAGACGCCCGAGGGGATTTTTGGAACATATTTGACAAAATCCACAGCGGAGTCCTAGAGAGCAAGGCCCAGGAGAAGGACCAGTAATGATCGTACAGCCCAATAACACGTGCTGATGGTTTGCTGAACGCCAGGCAGTTTCCATGCATTCTCTTGCTTAAATTTTCCAGCACGCTTGTGACATATGCATGCTTATTCTCTCTGTTGCTCCCCTTTCTAGAGGAGGTGAGACAAGTTAAGTGAGCAGCTAGTTAGTGGCAGGGTCAGATCTACAGCCCACACCCTGGAGCTTGTGCAGGGCAGCAGACAGCCCCTGGGACTTGAAGGCACACTTACATCGGGACCTCACTGTGCTGCAAGCCCCACACTGCTCACATCCCTCCGTTCCTCTGCAGCAGCCAGTCTTGACTTTTCCTTCTGCTGGGCAGCCCTGGTGTTTCCTCACTCACCTGAGGAAGCAGTGTTTTATCTGTCAGGGCGTCTGCAAGAATATGCTGCAGATAAATGCACCAATGAGATGTCAAAACTTTGTCAGTTTTGAAATAATTCTGAAGTATCTCCCGTCATACTTGCAAACTAAGTTATTAAGGTTTTAAAATTCTAATTTAATAATAATTTTCAAAAGCTTCAACAAGAAAAGAGTTTCTGCATAAGAATAGTCACACACCTCACATCTATTAGGGTGGCTACAAAAAATAAGAATTGTTGATGAGGATGTGGAGAAATTGGAAGCCCTATTGGTCAGAATGTAAAATGGTGCAGCTGCTGTACAAAACAGTATGGTGGTTCCTCAAAAAATTAAACATAGAGGGCCAGCCCCAGTGGCCTAGTGATTAAAGTTTGGCACACTCTGCTTCGATGGCCCAGGTTCAGTTCCCGGGTGTGGACCTACAACACTCGTCTGTCAGAGACCATGCTGTGGCGGCGGCTCACGTAGAAAGAGGAAGATTGACAACAGATGTTAGCTGGGGTGAATCTTCTCCACCAAAAAAAAAAAAAAAAAAATTCAATATAAAATTATCATATGGCAATTCCACTCCTGGATATTTACTCAAAAGGCTTGAAAGCAAGATCTAGAAGAGAGGAGCTGGCCCCGTGGCCAAGTGGTTAAGTTCATGCTTTGGCGGCGCAGGATTTCGCCGGTTCGAATCCTGGCCGCAGACGTGGCACCACTCATCAAACCATGCTGAGGCGGCATCCCACATGCTGCAACTAGAAAGACCTACAACTGAAAAATACACAGTTATGTACCGGGGGGCTTTGGGAGAAAAAGGAAAAAAAATAAAATCTTAAAAAAAAAAAAAAGATCTAGAAGAGATATTTGCACACTCGTGTTCAAAGCACCATTATTCGGAAAAGCTAAGAGGTCGAAACAACCCAAGTGTCCGTCAACAGATGAATGCATAAAGAAAATATGGTATATGCATGTGATGGAATATTATTCAACATTAAAGAGGAAGGGGATCCTGTCACATGCTACAACACAGATGAACCTTGAGGACATTATGTTAATTGAAATAAGCCAGTCACACAAAGACATGTTGTGTGATTCTACTCACGTGATGTATTTTAAAGTAGTCAAATTCATAGAAATGGAAAGTAGAATGGCGGTTGCCAGGGGCTGGAGTCGGGGGTGGGAGTTGCTCTTTAATGGGGACAGAATTTCAGGTTTACAAGATGAGAAAGTTCTGAACTGTACACTTAAAAATGGTAAAGATGGTAAATTTTACATTCTGTGTTTTTCCCACAATATACTTTTTTTAAAAAAGAGTCCTTGCACAAATGGAACTGTTCTAAGTTCTGTGCAGCCTGCAGGATATCAAATGAAGAGAACATGCAGAAACAAAGCAAACAAATTAATCTCTAAAGAGAAGGGTCAGTGGGTTAAGATTTAAAAAATACACGTATCTTGGGGCCAGCCCGGTGGTGCAGTGGTTAAGTTCGCACGTTCTGCTTCCACAGCCTGGGGTTCGCCAGTTCGGATCCCAGGTGCGGACAGGCCACCTCTTGGCAGGCCATGCTGTGGTAAGCGTCCCACATATAAAGTAGAAGAAGATGGGCATGAATGTTAGCTCAGGGCCAGTCTTCCTCAGCAAAAAGAGGAGTATTGGCAGCAGATGTTAGCTCAGGGCTAATCTTCCTCAACAACAAAAAAAACACATATCTCAGACACACTACCAGTCTCACATTTAAAGAGGCAGAAGCATTCCCACTTTGGCCTGGTTCAGAGAGGTGTCAGGAAATGTGGTCCAGTTGAGTGTTTATTAAGCACCTATTGTTGGTAAGCCTGTCCTGAGTGGTAGGAGAAGGCCACATTGTCTCTGCCCTTGAGGAGTCTACAGAGTGGATGGATGGATGGATGTATCAGTCAGGATTCTTTCTCATTGTTCATGGAACTGAAGAGTCAGAGGGTAGAAGTGACTTACACCCCCCTCGCCTTGACATCCTTCTCAGGCGTGCTTCCCTCGTGGTCACCAAGTAGCTGCCTACAGCTCTAAGCTTATCTCCTACCAAGGGAATCAGGAGTCTCCCTCAAGGTTCCAACAAAGACCTGGGATGGATTCGTTGGGGTTCCACTTTGGGTGATATCCTTGAACAAATCACTGAGGCCAGGGAGGGCCAGCATCATGTGACTTACCCTGGCACCCTGAGCCTGGCTGAGCTCATGGTGATGTTGTCAGAGGAAGGAGAGTGGATGCTGAGCAGGCAGGCGTAACCGATGTCCACTACAAAGGATGAGATGTATATAGAATGCCAGCGATGTTAGGGAAGTGGGAAGGCCAAGTTAGCAGCCAGGGAAGTAAAGGACGCGGGAGAGAGGGATGGGGGCGTGGGCATGGCAAACCCAGGAAAGTGGCGATTGTGAAGGAGATCCAGGGGAGTGTGGAGAGCCTCGGCTTTCAGAGCAGGAGGCCTGAGTTTGAATCCCTGCTCTGCCACTTGCCTTTGGGCAAATTCTGAACTCCGCTGAGCCCATTTCCTCATCCCTGAGGTGGAGATAAGAGCAGCATCCATTCAAAGGGCTATCTGGAGTGTGGAGGTAGTGTGGTGGCACACATTCAGTAAGTCACCTGCTATTATCATCATCATTATTATTATTATTACTACGTTGCAGAGGTCAGCCCGGCGACTGTCGTCATCTCTATCTGGGAGCCAGGCAACATGGTTACCGAATCATTGTGGCTTTCTGCTCCTCACCTAGTAATGGGTGGTCTGACAGTGTCAACCAAGCTGGCCCTGTGACACGGTCCCCTGTCCTCTCCCCACAGGGGCGAGAAGTACGGCTTCATCACCTACCGGCGTTCTGAGCACGCTGCGCTCTCGCTGAGGAACGGCGCTGCCCTGCGGAAGCGCAACGAGCCCTCGCTCCAGCTGAGCCTCGGAGGGCTGCGGCAGTTCTGCTGGCCCAGACACACTGACTACGGTAAGTGCACGGGCCCTGCCACAGTCCAGGAAGACCCAAAGCACGAGGGGCAGTGACTCCTTTACTGAAACTCAGACCAAAGCCCCCTCTGGACACAGCTCCCAAGCCCCAGCTCCAACGTGCTGCTTGGCATAACTTTGCAGCCACTTTGCCTGGAGGCCACCATCTTGTTCTTGTGGTCTCTGGTCCATCTCGTCCCGTCCCAGGACTGGTACCAAAGAGATGAAGCCTCCCATGGTCTCTTGGAAGATCCAGTCTTGTGCTCACAGGGCTGGTGGTTGCCCTGCCCCCTGGAGAGGCGTTCCATGGTGGCCCTGACAGGCACCAGCCTTGTCCATTAATGGGCCACAATGAAACAATATTATCACTCTGCTCTTGCCATTTGGGGACAAGTTGGTGAACAAGGACGAAGAAGTACAATTTAGGAAAGAATTATTGGTAGGGCAGAGTCCATTGCAGCTTCCCTATTACAGGGCTGAGTGACAGGAGGCTTAGGAGGGTTCCAAGCCCGGCATCGCTCCACCTGTCTCCATGTCCACTCATGGGACCCAGTTCCATGTCTGTACAATGAAGGCATCCTCGTTTGTTGGCCCCCTCACGTGACTTCTGCAACATTTCCTAATGGGCAAGACGCTGGGTGGGGAAGTAGTATTATAGGATATCGGAGCTGGAAAGGAGCTCTGGGGTGCTCGAATTCAGACCCCCCATTCTACAAACAGGGTGGCCAAGGCCCTGAGATGTTGCTGTCACAGCAGAGTGGCAGAGCCGATGCTCACTGTCCAGTGCTCTCTGAAGCCTTGGGCCACATCTCCTCCACCGGGCTCACCCTGGTGGTTGATTTTCCGATGGTCAGGCCTTTCTAAGTTGCTCACTGACTCCTCCACCCCCCTGCCCAGATTCCAATTCAGAAGAGGCCCTTCCTGCGTCAGTGAAAAACAAGTATGAAGCCATGGATTTTGACAGCTTGCTGAAGGAGGCCCAGCGGAGCCTGCATTGATAACAGCCTTAACCTTCGAGGATATACCTCAATACCTCAGACAAGGCCCTTCCAATATGTTTACGTTTTCAAAGAAATTAAGTATATGAGAAGGCGAGAGAGCGAGCGCGTGAGAGAACACACGTAAGAGAGAGAGAGAGAGAGACTTGAAACTGCTGTCCTTTTAAAAAAAATCAATGTTTACATTGAACAAAGCTGCTTCTGTCTGTGAGTTTCCATGGTGTTGACGTCCCACTGCCACATTAGTGTCCTCGCTCCTGACGGGTTGTCCCGGGTGCGCCTCCAGTGCTGGGTCGGTCACCCATCTCCCCTTCCTTCCCGACCGACTTCCCCTCGTAGACATGCAGCCATGTTCACCATGACATTTCTTGTCTGTAGTGTGTGATGATGAAATTGTTACTCGTGAATAGAATCAGGATTATAAACTCATTTTTAATTGAAGAAAAAAAAGTATATCCTTAAAATAATGTATTTATGGCTCAGACGTTCTGTGCCTGGGATTATTGTATCGCTTCCTTGGTTTTTAACTATGCACTGTCATGAGGTGTTTGCCACTGGGCTGCTGTGCTCCCTTTGCCAGAACGCCCCCGAGGTGCTGGGTGGCCAGCAGGCTGGTCCCCGGGGAGGCACGGCCTGCAGCCACGACTAGGAGCCATGGAGACAGGTTTCTGGGCCTCTTCTGCCAAGCCCTGCCCTTCTCTCATCCAGCAGCTTTGGGTCTGGTTACAATCAGAGCCCTCATCTGGTGCCCAGCTCATGCTAGAGTTTGTGCCTGGCCATGAGTGCTCAGATCCTCACGGGCTTGTAAGGGAGGCATGTGAGCTGCATTATTTCATTTTTTCCAGGGGAGGCAGGTAGTGCCCCGAGAGGCAAAATGACTTGCCCACGGTCTCACGGCCAGGGAGAGGGCAGAGCAGCGACCCAGCCCAGGCCTCCTGTTTCCTGCAGGACTTATGCTCCTGCAGTCACTGGGGTAAAGATGCAGAGTTTCAGGGGCTGGTGGAAGTGAATTCAGCTAAATTGGGCAACAGGCTAGATGCCTAGGGGCTCATTTTGGGAGTTAAGTCAACAGCTAACTCGCCAGCCTTAGGCGAGTTCAGGCTCTGGCACGTGTCTTGATCCAAGGGGTCCTGTGGTTTGCCTACACCTGTGGACACACCATCAGAACTTTAGTGACACACCTAGAGTGGCATGGGCAGGTGATCTGGGAGCAGTCATCCTTTCTGGGCCAGCCACCAACCCATCCTACTCCCTTCAGCTTGTGTTTCCCTTTCCCTCGCCTGAGAAGTTGTTTTGGTGGCGGGGGCCACAGAAGGGAATGGGAGGGGTGGAGGCGGGGTAAGACAATCTCCAAGCTCCTTTTCAACTTAGAGCACATTCTAATCAGGCTTCACTTTAAAGTTTGTGTTCTTGAGTGATGGCAAAGCCACGTCCAGCTTGGATGTTCTGCGGGTGCCTTGGAGGCTGTTCAGGAGGGAGGGCGTGGCCAGCAGGGTGTGGGCACATTGCTTCTGCTTCAGACAAATCAAGCACCTCCAACTTGATCTCTTTCAGACATCAGGGTTCCCTGGGAAGTTTTTGTATTTAAAAGAAAAAAGGCCCTGCTGCTTTAAAAGCGTTTGAAACTGACTTATTAAACTAAACAAGCTAATTTAATATATTCCTAGTGCCAGGCCTAGTCCTCTGAGAATTGGTAGTTGATTTTTTTTTTTTTAAGATAATCAAATACCTCAGTAGGTAAACTGGGCTGATGAACTTGTCCTAGGCGATAAGTATACTTCAAGCCCATGGAGAAGGGTGGAGGAGACAGGCTTTAGCAGGAATAGAGAATTTGAGCACCTGTGTGTCAAGTCATTGACTTCTCTGGGTCCCAATTTTCTTTTCTGTGAAATGGACTGAGGGAGAGAATGAGGCAAGTTGATCTGCAAAGTCCCTGCCAGCTCTAACAGTCTTAGTTTCTATGAAGGCATGGTCTAGCTCAAGATGGCAGATTCATGGCATGTGCACCACTACTCCTACATCCTTGGCCAGTGGCAGGCATAACTAATTGACCACAGCACTCATGTTCTTTGAGCTCAGTCATGCTATTGGAATCCTCAACCCAGTGGTCTGGGCAGCCATTACTAATTGATCAGAGTTTAACCTATTCGACATCCTGGCCTATCTTTGAAAGGTTTCCATCACACAGAAACATATGGTGGCTGGGTTTCATGCTGGCCCATCCCCGTCTGTCATACCCTGATCTATGAGAAAAAAGTCCCCTAAAGCCATTCCCTGGCACAGGACTCCCAATACTACTGTGACACACAGTCCCATTTGGGACCTGGGGTGGGGGTGGGGAGGGGAATAGTGGACATGAACGTGTTTGGGAAAGGCAGGGTTTATGAGGATGGACACCAAAAAAGGGACTTTCCACAGCACAGACCTGAACATTCTAAATTCCTTTTATAGCTGTTCACTGCCTAGCACACAGTAGGCACACAGTACGTGGTTATGGAATACAATGGAATCAAATCGAATTTAAATCCATCTGCTGCCTCCCCTAAGGCCTCGTTTGCACCGAGGAGTAACCTGAGTTCACTGCGCGGAAGCCGGTGGGAAAGCACTCTCTGGATTCAGAGTTGGACTCGGTCCCCTCTAAGCCCCTCCTCTGGGCTTCTTCCTCCATTGCACTAGGCCAGAGGCTCTCCCGTGGGCAGGTGGTACTTTAGGGTAAAGAAATGCAGATTTTTAGGGAAGGACAAGTTTCTCCCTCCCCTCTTCTGGGTCAGCTGAAGCTGCCCTTTCACTTCAGATTAGTGCAGGGCACTTATTTCTTAGACATTGGCCCTTGAGCAGAGCAGAGATCTGAGTGTGGCGTTGGGACATAAGGTCAGAGCTGGGGGCCGGTGATGGGAGAGGATGCCTTCCAAGAGCATCGAGCAGTTTCTGCTTACCATCCAGTATGTAAAAGGCTACAGGTTCTAAAACTGGCTGACCCTGCAGACAACCTCAATCCGGAAGACTCATTCGGTGCTGTGTATTATTTATCAAGGAGACTCCAAGGTCTCTCCAGGAAAACTAGTCAACCTTGGTCTCTTTCCCACCAAATTAAGGAGTAACCCAGAGGGAGCAGCTGCCATTGGCAACCATCTCGTTGTAGCTCTGTCCTAGTGTTTGCTCTCGATGATGTTTACATGTGACTGCCATAAAAGCTTACTGTAGACTGTGTCGATAGCCGCCCACACAGGGCAGGTTGTACTGTCTGTCTCTGTGCCGTGCTGGTGTCTCCCAAAATGTCTGATCCAACCGCTAAGTGGAATTCTTCCATCTCCTTCCTCAGTCTACAAGACTGAATCAGAATCCTCATTCTCGGGGGCTCTGGTTACCGAAGGAAAATGCATCAAAGAGGTAAAGGATATGAGTGGATGGAGTGCAGCTAAGCCCCACCCCCAGTCCTGCTTACCCCATCACAGCTTGCCCCCCCAACCTGAGAACTGCTTGGAGTCAAAAAGCACCAGTCAGGTGTCTGCATCTGCCATGAGATCTCACAGCATTGCGTGTGGAATGTGCTCAGCAGAGAGGCAGGGCTCCGGGGGGCTTTGGGGCTGGGAAGAGGGAAGAAGGAATGCTCTGAGCTTCGAAGACTCAGTACCCGAGTCCTGATGTGGGAAGAGATGCAACAGGAAGTCTTTCATTGCCTAAAGCCTATGCTTGTTGATGTTCTGAGAGAGATTTCTTCTAGGCGTGTGCAACACGCATGCCGAGGCCACTGGGCAGGTGGTGAGTGGAGGGGGCAGGAGGCACTGACGTGTGATCCTTCTGCGTGAACAGGTGGGAACCCCATCCCAGGCCTCGGGTTCAGTTGAAGTCACAGCTGAGCCTGCAGCTTGAGAGCTGGGTCATCCCAACGGTGAAGCAGAATCAGCCCCAGAGGATTTGTGATATGACCAAGGAAAGACATTGGATGGACAGTAGCAGATAAAGTGAACCTAATAGTTTGATTGGCCAAAGAAAGGGGACCCGCTCACCCTTCCCACTGGGGCAGAAGGAGACCCATTAGTACTTCTGTGCAACATGTGTAAGCTGGCCCCCAAGTCCCTGAGGCATTTGCACACACGAGTGGGCTCCAGGGCTACTTGCCGAGTCCAGAGGTACAGGGTGAATGGAGGGAGAGCTTGGGAGCTGGGAACCCACTTGCACAGGGATGCCCTTGACCCAAAACAGGCACGGGGTCAGGGGAGCCCCTGGGAGCCAGCTGCAGGATGTCCAGGAGGTAGCCAGAAGCTAACTTTGCATTGAACCAATAAAAGCACTTTGAGAAAACCACAACACTGCAGCCTGGCTCCATGTCTCTATGCTGGCAAACGTAGGTCTCCTTTGGCTGTGTGAGGTCCTCTCCTAGGGACTGGGACACAGGGTCAGCAGGGGGGCTGGTGCGAGGGAGGAGAGAGCTGAGAGGCCTTCCTAGATACTAGCAGCAGGAGAACCAATCCTAGGTGGCCCTTTGCTGGCCTCTTTGTTGGAGGCCCTAGAAACAGGAAATGGTGAGTTTCAATCTTGGTACCTACTTTTGTAAAAAAAAAAAAAAACAAAACCAAACAAAAAAAATTAAAACAGCCCGACTGATTGATTGAAATGTGTTTGTGGAGCAAGTCATTTAACTGTAAGCCATCTCGGAGTGAGAAACCCAGTGTTTCTTACTTGCCATGTCATCTTGGGCCCTTGTTTCCTCATCTAGCAAAATGAGAATATTGGATGGGATGAGCACTAAGGCCCTTTCACCTCTGACGGGCTCAGATTCCCATGCTGGAGCATCGGGCATCCATCACCAACCGGCGAAACCAATTCCCTTCTCTGGCTGAGCTGAGCTCGTGTTCAGGGGGAGACTGCTCGCTCGGCAAGGTCACCAAGCAGCAACAGACTCAAACGCACACAGTCCTGGCTGAGTTACCTTATTCCAGGAGGCCCACTCCCCAGGGCAGATCTAAGCCATAGTTTCTGGTGGGGACGGTGAGAAGTTAACCCCCAGCGCGGCTAGGTGGCGATGTCGAATCTCACATTAGCCTTGTCAGCGTCCCCACCGAACAGCTTTTAATCCGAATGTTGTGACCACTTGGCTGTTTCTCTCTTGCTCTCAGACAATACTAGCAATACACTTGTGTTTTCAAAACAGCTTAACTTAGGGCACTTTTCGCACATTTCTTTCAAATGATTGTAAAACATATGGGACAACAGGAGGCACTGATCCCACTGAATGTGTTTAGGGCAGCTTTTGTTTTCTGTTTCTTTAATGGTATAGCAGCGGGGACTGAGGCTTCGAGATTGAGGGGGGGACAGATTCTCCCATATTCCGTTGCATCCGAATGCCTTGCACGTGCAGAAGCAGCACAGAAATCCAACTGCCCGAACTGGGGGCTTAGAAAAAATGGTTTTGCTGACGGTCAGTGTCTGGGCCGTGCACCCCCTCCCAAAGAGCTGTTTCTATAGCTAGAAACTGCTCTGTGCTGTATCTTCCGTCGAAGGATCCTCCAGGGAAGCCTGATAAAGCCTCCTCTTCCACTCTGCCAGCCTTGCTCCCGGGTGACTTGGAAAGGGACCGGTTGGTCAGCCTCCACCTCAGCACTTTGCCTTATCAATGTCTAGTCGCCATCTAGTGGCCAAAGACTGTATCCACCAGCTACCCAGATGGAAGGCAAATGAATCCTTTCTGCCACCTTGCTGTCCAACACCAACTTTGGGAAGAAAATGTAATGTCATGAGCAAACTGTCCATATGTTTAGAGCCCAGTGTCACACCAGACAGAAGACTCCAGAAGCAGCCACTTAGTAGATGCTCACGCAGATGCAAGTGCACTAGCTGTCCTGTGGGCAGAGGAGACAGGAGTGGACCCTGTGTCCGGGTGCCCGGGAGGGGTTTACTGTAACTGCAATACTGGCAGCCCAGCTGCTGTCCTTGTTAAGTGAACCTCTGCTAGGTGGCCTGCACTGTACCCTCGGGACAAGCCAAGAGGGTGGGTGTGAGGATTCTGTGCGGGGGCTGGCCATGGCCTTTGATATGGTCCACCAAATAGCCAAACAGGTTATTCTTTTGTTGTTAGTTTGTGTTTGTTTTAGTATTTTGTATTTAAAAATCTTGTCAAGTGTTTTTGTGTTAGGAATAAAAAGTCATAAACTCTTCCCAACTTTGTTTCTTGATGGATGTTCTGATTCCAAGAGAAACAGGTTGGAAATCTCAAGGGGCGTGTGGTCAGTGGAACAGAGAAGTGGACCACTTGGGTTTCCAGACGGTTTCTGGGGGAGATGACCACCCGGAAGTCTGGCTTGGTGCATTCTGCTCTGGAATTTGTACCCACCCCTTCACCTCCTTGTGCCAAGGTATTAGCATCGGCTTTGAGCATCTGCCTCTATCAGAGGCAGCTGCTAATGTTGAAACCAACACAAGATCCCTCTCCCCAACCCCAGGTTTCTAAAGAGACAGTGTCTGTAGCTAGCCTTAATCGACTGGGCAAGGTGGTCCCTATGGTCCCTTCCAGCGGTTCCAGATCTTGGACTCAAATCCTTTTCTCTTGGTGTGACCATGCAGCCTAGAGAATTCTGAGCAATAGGGAGTCAGGGCTTTCCCTGGCTCTGTGACAGGGTCAAACCAGGGAATGGCTAAACTTGTGAGTTTGGGCATCCCCAGGGGTACTACCATAGGGGGCATTATTTATTAGGAAGCTCAACAAGGTAACTACAGCCTGGGGTGCATGAGCGCAAGGCTGTGTGTGTGTGTGTGTGTGTGTGTGTGCGTGTGTGTGTGTGTCTGCGTGTGCACGCCTGTTTGTGTGTATGTGTGGAATTACATTGATGCATTTCTTGAGAAAGGTGCAAGAATTTCACCTACACAGAGGGACACATCTGCTTTGTTATTTATAATAGAAAGCTAAATTTTAATTTTTTAAAGGACACTGCTACTGATTGAGAATCGAGTTTTTAGTTTTGCTATTTTTTTTAATTGGTAGAGGATTTTTATATATTTTTTCCATTTTGTTGGGTTGTGTCCTTATTTATATAAATACTTTATCTGTAAGAGGCAAGGAAGAAACCTTCCTTGCTTTTAATTATTGTGGTCGTCATCCCCCCCTATTTTATTTCTGGTGTGATTTATCTGTCTTACCTTCTAAATGAGAAAATGTTTTCCTGTATTTGTACATTGTCAGATTCTATAGTTTCATAGATAATTTAACCAAATTGCTCTATGTATTATTATTCCGTGAGTATAAAGTTCTATTTTAACGTCTGTAAATACTCCAGAACTGGCTTCTTTTCTCAAACTCCTGCTGTGGAGTTACTGTTTACATCACAAAAACTGTAGAATCTCTATGCTCATGTACTGTAAATAGTGAAGTGATCTGCTTATAAATAAACTTAACAAATACACTATGGAGATTAAAGAAAATACCACCCACAGCCCTGCCCAGGTGTGTCTTTATTAGTCCTGCGTGTTCGTTGAGGGACACTCTGGCCATGACATGGGGAAGGATTCTGGTTTCAGTGTCACCTTCTCAGAGAAAACCCCGATCAAGGGATGCTGCCCACCCCCCCAACCCCGAGACTCTCCTTCCTTTTTCCTCCCTCACAGCACTTTTCATGGATCCTAAGGGGCCATTCAGACTTCTCTCCCGTAACCGATGTCCCTGTACCGGCTTTGCCACGACTTTATAAAGGGAGACCCTTTCCCAACAGGGTCTCCCTTGTCTTGGGGTACCAGCTGTTTCACACAAGCACACTCAACGCTAAATACATGTGCTCAAAGAGATACTTTGACATGGTTTCAGGCAAAAACTCACCAGTTGACAACTACAAAACGGTTTCTGGTCAGAGGATGTGGAGAACAGGTTGGAACTGTGCACCGTGTTTGGGTGAATCGAGACATTTTGCTCACTTCTCCGACGAGAGCAGTGAAGAAGTGGCGCCTTCCAACACTCAGGCTTGGGGGTGTGTGTGTAATTTCCTCAGTTTCAAAGCACTCTTGGATTTAGCCTTTATTTGGCACTAAAACTACTTTAGTTTTATTTTTAAGTGCAGTCGGAATGCACGATCCCCCTGTGCCCCCAAAGGGTGGAAACGTTAGTGAAGAAAGTTATACGCAAACAAGAACAGGTACAGTAAGCCATTCCATTTCATGTTATATGCAAACTATTTTCAAGTAGTTGTTTATTACCTACATAAACTAGTTCTTGTGCAGGTGATTTATTTCCTCAACCAGGAAACTGTTTGGATTTCTTTGGTTGGAAGGGAGCACATCGTGATTTTCCCTTTAAAGTGAATGGAGGGGTTTCCACATTGCAGCAGGTTCGCTGCCATGGATGAGAGTGATTGATTGCTCAGTGTCTGTCACCCCCTCGCCAGGCGTCAGCCCCAGGAGGGCATGGCTGCTTCTCCATTCACTGCAGGGTGCCCAGGCCCACTGATCAGGAATTCCTGGATGGGCGAGTGAGCGGCTCCTATCCGTGGCCTGTTGACTATACACACACAGCTGGGGAGGCAGCCCAGCCGCAGAGTCATAGGAAATAATCCCTTCAAAGATGCAGTCAGTGGTGCAAGGACCCCAAGACCTGCGTTTGAGACCCAACTCTGCCGCTTCTGTATTGTACCAACTTGGACAAATCACCTCTTTGGCCCCTGGTTTCCCCAACTATGAAACAAGATGATTTGCTTAGATGAACTCAGAGGTCCTTTATGTTCTAAAAAAGCTGATTCTCTGACGCAGTATAGTGCAGGGGAACTGGTTACAAGCTGGAAGTCTGGTGTCAGGCTGCTTGGCTTTGAGTCCTGACTCCACCACTTATCAGCTGGATGTCCTTGGGCAGCTTTCTTAACCTCTCTGAATCTCCACATCATCATGTGAGAAGTGGGGCTAGTAATAGTTTCTACCCTATAGGGTTGTTGAGAGGATGAAATTAGGTCATGCTGGGTACCTAGGACATCGTAGGCACTTAATCGACATTAGGTGTAGTCCTCATCATGCACAGTCTCATTCTACCCATAGCCCTGGGAGAGGCCTGGCAAGGATTAAGACCTTTGTTTGAAAGATGGGGAAGCCAGGGAGAGCAGAGGGAGGCAGCCCAAGGGACAGAGCCAGGACCAGCAGCATCCCCTGTATGTTCTTGGGTGACACTTATCTCTCCTGTTTACCCTGCAGCTTAACCACTACATGTGACGTGGTTAGGGACATGCCTCTGCTTAGAAGACCACTGCTCTGAGCGTGCCGATGTCCAGAGGGTGGAAAATCTAGCTTGAGAGCTAAAAGAAGAGGGTTCCAGGCTCAGCTCCCTACGGACATCATGACCTGCAAATATGTGTGGGGCCCATGCGTCAGGGGCCCTGATTGATGTGGTGTAGGAGTCGCGGGGCCGTGCGCCCTGGACACGGTGTTCTCTGTGACCTTGGGTATCTGCTTCTGGAGGGAAGCCGGGGAGCTGTGCCAGGAACTTGGCCCAGCCCACCCCCTCGCTGGCCTTCAGTTTCCTCTTCTCTATAAAAAGGGAGGTTAGCGTCCATCAGTACTAACGGTTTGGAGAAACCACGTGTTCCTCCTCAAAGCAACTGCTAATATATTAATTTCTGCATAACCTCTGTTTGGGAGGAAGAGACGTTCTAGAGCCAACGTCCGCTTACAGGAGAACAGCGGACAGAGGAATGCGTTTTACGCCCCCACAAGGAAGCAAAGGGACAAATCCCGAACATGGGACAACTGACCCTGTTTCTGCAGCAAGTCACTGGCAAAGAAAAAACAGGAGGGAGCACTGTGTCGGTTAAAAGAGACCCAAGAAACAACAACTGAAAGTCACCCTCGTTTGGATCAGACTCAAGCAAACCAACTCCTAGACATTTTTGCAACAATGCGGGAGAGTTGATTAAGGGCTGACGTCATAAGTCGGGTTCCCCAGGAAGCAGCCCCTGCAATGGGCTGAGTCTGCAGGGTGCTTATTAGGGAGCACCCTGGGACCAACACCTGGGGAGGGGAAGAGAGTGGAAGAGGGCAGAGGGGGAAGCTGAGCTGCCACACGAGCCCAGCGGCAGCCTTGGTGGACCCCACGGGGAGTCCTGGAGCTAGATTGGCCCTGCAGAGTTGGGCCACGTTGGGCCAAGATGGCCAGGCCTTAACACCCGGCATAGATCTGTCATTGGGTGTAGGCCACCCTGGGAAAGGGCATGACCTTGGGCAAATTGTCTCCCTGCCACTGACGTATTCCCTGAAGGGCTGACCCTGAGGGCTGTTTGCTGACGGCACTCAGCCACTGGGGCCACAGGTCTCTTACGGAAAGTACAGCTTCATCACAGCATCTACCACAACCTGACATTAGCTGTTCATCTGTTGCATGTGATAGCCATGTGGTTATGTTAGAAAACACCCCTATGTCTTTAAAGACGTGTAATGGAGGAGTGAAATGATATGTCTGGAATTTGCTTTTCAATACTAAAGCTAAGAAAAAAATGAAAAATATAAAAGGATGGATGAAGCAAATGTGGCAAAATCTTGATACTGGAATCTGGGTGACGGTTGGTGGGGATTCATTGTATGATTCTCTACCTTTGACTGAAAATTTTTATAATAAAATGGAAGTATAAGAACAAAAATGCTTCTCAGCAGGCAGGTGAATCCGACATTAATTAAATGTTTAATTGATGTCTATGAAAGCTAGAATGTTGGCTTTAGTGCAATAAAAAGTTCTCAAGGCTGAAAAAATGTTTGAAAGCCACTAGATAAGATATAAGCTAAATTCTCTTTCACCTTTGAAGTCCTAGCTCTCTTTTACTTCTCAATAAGGTGTGCCGTTTTCCACTGGCTCTGGGAACCTCTTCCCACGAAGGCTGGCGCCATTCCAGTCAGCCGACCCCCTTAGTGCTACTGGATGCAGCACGACTTGGACGCAGGTGCGCCCCCTCCTGGGCCGGCGCTCCTCCCGGGCTGATTTCCCGCGGCTGCTGCAATCAGACGGGAAAGAGAACACACCGGGGGAGAGGAAGTTGCAGGGGGCTCCCCCTTTACCCTGGTTTGGACAAGAGTTGCAAACTCAGGGGTTTTCAGAGGCCAACAGATCATCACAACGAAGAGGGCAAGCCAAGTGTAAGGTGAATCAGAGGAACCAAGAATGTTTCTCTACACTAAGAGAAAAAGCAGCAGAATCGTGATGATAAATGGCAACCAACACTTGGCACCAATGTCTGGGAGACAACAGGGAGTGGTGGAGATTGTGACAAACTGGAGAGACGCCCCTGTCTTATCTAAAGGGAGCAGGTGACACTCAGCTCCAGCTAATTAATGTCATGCAGAAATGTAGACTGGTGTGGCCAAATCTTGATCTTTTAAGAAGAAATGCTGGAAATCCGGATTTTTAAAATCTGAAATATCCCAATTTAAAAATATGGACAGCAAACTCATTAAAAAAGATGTAGGCCAAGCAAAAGACATCCGCAGGCCATAATTTTGCACAGCATAACCTGCCACTAGCCCAAAAGATAATTTGTGCAAATTAGAAAAACTTGCATCTTCCTCAGGACACTTTACTGCCATTTTCTGGAAAATTGTAATAACAATGCAAATCTCTGATGACTGTAATGTATAGGACGCCTCCTGGAGCTGTGAATAAGCACGACTTGCAAAACCATCCGTGGTAGCCCCACATTTGCAGCCACCAGTTTAGAATCACCCCACACTGCCCAGAGTGGAGCTGGAGACCTGACTGTGCCCACGTTAAGAAGGTGTGTAGAGGGACTGGTGTGCAGAGCAGGGTCATCAGGGTGGGGTGGGGACTAGAAGCCATGTCCTGTGAGGGACCCAGAATCACATGACCAGTAAAAGAAATGACCTGGGGGAGGGGAATGTGCTGTGGATGGGGAAGAGTTGGAACAAACAAATCCCATTTGATTCCTGAAGGCAGGACTGTGGCCACTAGGTGGAGGTTTCAACAAGGAGAAGAATTTCAGTTCAAGGAAGAGCATTCTAATAGTGGTATTGAATGAGGATGTCATGTAAGGTAGTGAGCACTCCATCACTGGGAGCGTGCAAGCAAATGCTCGTGATGATATAGACAGGATTCAAACATCAGACAGAAGGCTGAAAATATGATCTCTAAAATTCCTTCCAACCAATAATTCTCAGTTTTTCTCCTTTGTCCCTGGGTAGGGCCCTATGTCCAAAGCCTTAGAATTGGAATCTGTCCTACATTGGTTGGGAGGCAGTTGGGGAAGCCTTGCCGGGAGTGTCAATCTTGGGAATCAGGCTCTGCCACTTACGGTGTGACTTGGCCATGATACTTCACCTTAGTGAGCCTCAGTGCCCTTATACATAGAATGGGGCCAATAGGTTGTGGGGAGGCCTGAATGGGACCACGTGTGTGAGGCACTGCGACCAGCCAGGCACACTGTGAGCACTCAGTGTAGGGGAGGACGGGGCGCCCCGTGATCCCCCTTCCACAAACCTTGCTTGCCTCCCTGCTGGTTCTGCTTCTCCTCCTCCAGCACCTTCATCTTGGCATCGTACTCGTCGGCAAGCGCCTTCCACTCCTTGCGGTTGTTGGTGATCCCATCCAGCATGGGTGTGATCTCCTCGTGGAAACGGGAGAATTCCTGGAAGAGAGAGAGCCTCTGGCACAGGGGCCATGCCCAGGGTCCAGGCTCCGGGGGAGGCACAGTGGCAATGTCCAGTACTGGAATGAGCTGCCTTGCGTAGCAGCCTCCCCATCACCCAGCGGGCTGCGTACTGATGCTGTGGGGCCTCCAGTCAACCAGATTCCATCCCTGCTTAAAACGCGCCTGTGGCCCCCCCAGCCTTCCGGACGAAGTGTGAACTCCTTCACAGGACTTTCAAACCCCTCAGACCCAGTGCTCTTCCCCCTCCACTATCCTGAATGCTCCAGGCCTTCCAAATCTCTGTCAGTCCCTCAGGGTATCTTTCCTTCTGTGGGTTCCACACAAGCTCTTCCCTTTGCTGGAACATTCTAACGTCCCCTCTTGTCCCTTGAAGCCTCCACTTAGATGTCACTTTCTCACGGAAGCCTCTTCTGACCCGCCAGGTAAGTCGAGTCGCCTATAAGAAGCTCCCGAGGCCTCTTTTCCCCATCTCACTCATGTACAGGCTCCCTTTGCCTGTCTCCCCGGGGGCTGTGAACTTGGAGAGGGTAGGGACATCGTTGAGGTGGCCCTGGCCCCGCACAGGGTCTGGGGCACAAAGACACTCAGTAAATATTTGCTTAGTGAAATCGGGATCTTTGACGAGGATTCTTAAGGTCTCTTAAGTCTAAGAGTAGAAATACTGCCTTTGAGCACCACATATTACAGTTTATGAAGCGCTTTATCCCCTTTGATCCTCAAAAACTCCTGTGAGGTGGAAAAACAAGATTCCCCGCTCCTAGATTTTAGGTGAGGAAATCAAGATGCAGATTGATGGAGTAGATTTGCCCAAGGTAAGAATGGCAGATCCAGGCCCCACTGCAGAGGTCCAGCCAGAGCCAGCGGGGCTCAGAGCCCCCTGGGTTCCATCCAGGCTCTGCCACAAGCTGTGGGACCTTGGGTAGGTCACCAACAGAGCTTAACCTCAGCCATGACATCAGGACAGTACAAGACCCACCTCCCAGGGTTGGTGTGATAACACACGTTGAGCGCCAGCCCAGTCTGCCTTGTGAACAATGTTACTGCTGACAGTGGAGACCATGGCTGCTCTGCCCGGTTGCTGAGAGGACCCCAACTAGACCACGTCATATCAGAGAGGCACATGCTCCCACTCTGGGAACATCTGCACCCCACCTTCCGAGCAGAAGGACTGCAGCTCACACAGCAGAAAGAGCCCGGTTCTAATCCTGTCTCATGGCTCACTCCAGTGACCCTGGCCCTGTCATTTGTCACCTCCTCATGTGTAACATGGCCAAAATAAAAATACCAAATGGGAAGTGGCACAGATAACAAGGATCTGGGAATGGTGGGTTCCTCAAGAGGGAGAATAACTTTCAGCAAGAGTTCAAAGAGGAATTCCGGATTCTGTTTTGACAATTGGGTTACTCCAACCTATCACACTTCCACCAACTAAGGACGTCAGGAGGGCATATGTCTGCTCTGCCTGCCCCTTCCCTGTCTGAAACCATTCTTAGTCATTTGTCCCACAACTATTAATTGAGCAGCTAGGGTGTGCAAAACTCCAGGCTCTGGCCTGGGTATATAATCACCCCAGACCCCACAGGGCTGTCCTGAGGACCAAATGCCACTGGAGATGAGAAGTGCTTTGTAACGTATCACCCATGGGTCATTTGCCAGGGTTTACTATTCCTGATATCATTTTGGAATCCTGGGTTGATCGAAGACATCTTGTTGGCTCTGAGGAAGCAAAGGGCCTACCTTGTAGACGAAGGTGCAGACGAAGTCAATGAAGCCGACCTGAAGCTTGGGGAGTTCGTCCGCCTTGTTTCTGTCCATCATGGGCTGTCACGGGGCAGAAAGAGTGAGCTGCACTGGGCTCCTCCTGGCATGATGCAGTCAGGGGGACCCACCCTACCTGTGAAGCATTCTTGCCCAAAGGAAAAGATCGAACCCGAAACTCATCAAGTTTCCAGATCTGACCAGCAGTTTGCAGGAAATACAGGGATAGAGGAACATGTTAAATAACACCACGAGGATGCAATCAACCAAATCCAGAAAATGGGAAACTATGCAACAAAAGACCCACCATCTTCAACAAATAAATGGCATACAAAAAAAAAAAAAAAAAAACAGGAGGAAACTCTACTGATTAAAAGAGATTTAAGAGACATAACAACTGGAGGGAGTGTGGTCCTTGATTGGATCCTGATTTGAACAAATCAAACTAGATTATTTTTATTCTCCTATCAGGGAAAATGAACAGAGATTGGGGATTAAAGAATATTAAAGAATTATTACCAATTTTGTGAGTGCTATAATGGTACTGTGGTTGTGTGTGTGTGTTTCATCTCTTAGAGATACATGCTAAAGTACTTACAGAAAAAATGATAACATCTGGGATTTACTTTACTTCAATGGAAAGCTAAAAAAATGCATGGGGGAATAGATAAAACAAGCACGGCAGCCTATTGCTAATGGTTGAATCTGGCCGATGGGGACATACAGTTTGTTGACTCTTCTCTCTACATTTTAAAATGTTATAAAGAAAGGCAAGAGATACGAATCCCACTGGCTCTTGCTGTTCCTGTTCAGGATGCTGGTCCATTGCTCACAGCCCTCCACTCTCCCCCAGGCCCTGCCTAAGCTTCACAGTTGCCCCAGCATCCTTAGCACTGTTACAGGTTTAGCACATACCCATATCCATGGTTCTGTCCCCAGAATGTCTCTCCCTTTTCCCCGCCTCTACTTTCTAGCCCCGCCCTAGCTCAGGGCCCTCTGAACCCTCTAACTGGTCTCTGGTGGGGAGCCAACTGACTGTCCAGCCGAGTTAACTTTCAAGATCAATGGGTTCTCAGCTTTACAAAGTCTTCCCTTTGCACGCTCTGTGCTGTTAGAACAGGGCCAGGGAGGTGGACTCCTAGACTGCTGGAGCTGAAAGGGAAATCCAAGTTTCGGTGTCCACTTGTCAATCTCTACTTAACTGAGTGAGCTAAGATGTGGACATTAGAGCAGGATTCCCAAACTTCAGGAGGGCTTATTATTACCTAGGAGGGCACACAGTGCTGGGCCCCCTCCCAGAGTTTCTGCTTAGGTAGGTCTAGGCTAGGGCCTGTGAATTTGCATCTCTAACATGTTCCCAAGGAACGAGGTTGATGTTGGTCCAGGGACCACACTTTGGAGAGCCCCTGCCTTAGGAAAGGTCATCTCTATGGCAAGATCACACATCTCTATGTCGGGGGGCCCATCTGTGTCACAGGAAGGTCACAGATCTCCATTAGGATGGGATCACACCCCAGCATCAGGTTGACTTTCCCTCTCTACTCACAATGGGATTCTGCTGCAGCACTGAGCGCTCCAGGTCACCTTGTTCCCAGAATTCAGCCGCAACCAGCAGAGCTACCTGCAACAGGTAGACCCCCCCACTCCCGGAGTCAAGGCCCAGCCCCAACCCTCCTGCCCCTGTTCCCACCCAACTTGGGTTTCCAGCTTAGCAAAAACTTAACCCCACCTCTGCTCCCCCACCCTCACTTTGTTGTCATCATTGGAGAGGTCTTAGAGTAATTTCCATGTCTCGGACGAGGAGGATGGAGCAAAGGTGGAGCTGGGAGAGTCCAGGCCACATCAGCTGCTGCCACCCCTACTGAGACTCCCCTCCCCTTGGGTCAGGAGGAGCCCATACCTTGCTCTGCACCTCCCAGGGCTTGGTGATGGCTGAGAGATCACAGGCGGTCATCATCATGGCCCTGGGCACAAGGACACCTTCCATCAGTCCAGAAACATTTAAGCCTGCCAGTGCTGGTCAATTCCATCTGTCTCTCCTTTCTCTCCCCCACTAGTAGGTGACCTCAAGCCATTGTGAGGAGAGGGGTCACCGCCCTATTGCATCTTGAGGTTGGGCTTTGAGGTCGGACAAACTTCAAATCCCGCCCCGGTCAATTACCAAAGGTTTGACCTTGGGCAATTAAACCAACCTCACTAGGCCTCAGTTTCCTTACCTGTAATAATAGTACTTTCCTCATGGAGTGGGTGCAAGATTAAATGAGAAAATGTGTGTAAAAATCTTAGCATAGTGCCTGGACATACTACGTGCGCAGTAAACACTGGCGATTATCGTGAACATACACTGCGTTTTCATCATGTGCCGCGCACTGTTCTAGGCATTTCTAACATCAGTTTCATTTAAATCCCAACACATCCTGAGTTCCTTCTCTCCTGTCTAGGGTAGAACGGAGTTTCTCAACCTCCTTCTCATCATCCTCCTGGCTTCTCTGTCAATTTCAGACATTTTTTTCTATAACTGATCCATGATGAAGTTTTCAGGAAAGCACTGGATGTTTCCTTTTCTGGGCTGGAGAGATCATGTGAAAATCACTCCCACAGCTGGGGAAACACATTTAAGTGTTTTATAGACAGAGAGCTGGTGTGTGCGTGGAATCAGGGGGAGGACGCTTGGGCACCAGAAAAGCCCATCCAAAACCTCGTGCAGGGCCAGCCCTGGTTGCCTAGTGGTTAAGTTCAGCACGCTGTGCTTTGGCGGCCCCAGTTTGGTTCCCGTGCATGGACCTACATCACTCTTCTGTCAGTGGTCATGCTGTGGTGGTGGCCCACATACAAAAAGAGGAAGATTGGCAGTGGATTTAGCTTAGGGTGACTGTTCCCCAGCAAAAATATATATATAAAATAAAAATAATAAAAAATAAATAAAAACAAAGTCTTGTGCCCTAAGGACAGCACCACTCCCTTACGAGCCCTGGGGCCGAGGTGCTGTGCTAGGTGTTGGGGATCCAGAGAGGCCCACAGGGAGCTCACAATCATTCAAGGAGCAGAGCAAAATGTCTGTCATCACAATGTGCTAAGTGGGATAGCAGAAAGAAGTACAAGGTGCAAAAAAAGAAAAAAAAGCAAAGGTGAGAGCAACTAGCTCAGCTCAGGGGGCATCCCATAGGTGACGGTGGAGCAGGGCCTCGCAGGGTGCATAGGAGCTCTCCAAGAGGGGGAAGAAAGGGTATAGTGGGCAGAGGCGCAGTAGAGAGTACTCAGGATTGCCAGGAGGTGACTGTAGGGAGTATTCATCTATCCATCCGTATACACCTGTGTGTGCCAGACACCAGGCAGAGACTGCTTCCCAGGGTCCCTGCTCTCAGGAGCTTGCAGACGTGCAGGGGAGTGGCACATTTATCACACAATTGAATGTAAACATGTAAACAACTGCTCTGAAGGAAAGGAGCTCCATGCTAGGAAAATGGGTCTGGGAGGTCAGGGAGGGCTTCCCGGAGGAAGTGATCCTGAGCAGATATCTGCAGGAGGTGTAGCTTGGTAAAGAAGGGAGAAGGGAAACACCTTCCAGGCAGAGAGAACATCCAGTTTCTGGAGGAAGGAAGTCTGGAGGAGGGAAACCCGGACATTCAAACAGCTGGAAGATGGGAAGAGCTCAGGGAGCAGGAGGGAGAAGGGTAAGAGGAGACCCAAGAGGTGAGCGGGGACCGGTGCGTGGCCAGGGGAGGTCTTCACGCTGATAAATAAGTAGCAAGCAATAGCATATATTGGAGTATCTGAGGAAGCCATTTGGTATAAAACTAATTTGGCCCAACCTTGTTTCTCCAAAAGGGCCTGACGTGGCCATTGAGCCTGCATTGTATATCTGCTCTAAGCATTTGGTATTAAGAACAAATGCCCTTAAGATAAAGACGCAACTTCCCCTACATTGGCATTTCCTTAAGGATAAGTATCTCTCCTAGGCTGGGGATTGATTGCTGCGCCCACCCTGTGACCACCCAGCTCCCAGACAACAGACCTGCTACCTGCTACGTGAATCGCGACAGCTACGCAGTCTCGTGACTGTTGTAAAAGGGACATTCCAACCACATGTGATACATGCTCTTTGAGGGTATGTACCCACACTGTACACCCCACTTCTTTGGTGCCCTTCCTTCCTTGGGGAAGGAAGGCCCCAGGCTAGTCCTCAGATCTGGCTCAGAATAAACTCATCCTAATTTTGATTTATAGATCCGTTATGGATTATTTGTGTCGACAATGCTAAGAGCAACAGGAAAAGCCATGGAAGAGTTTGGGTAGAAGGGTGAAGTGGTCAGATTTGCATTCTACAGGCGTCACTGTGGCTTCGGTGTGGAGGGGAAGGCCAGCAGGGAGCCCAGTTAGGGAGCTATTGCAGGATTCAGACAAGAGATGGAGGGGGCAATAAAAAGAAGTGTCCAGATGGACAAGGCATTTAAGAAGTTAACAGGGCTTGGGGATAGATTGGGTCAAAAACAGTTGAAAGTCGGCAATGTCATATGATTCAGTGTAATATATGCATCCGTCCTAAGGGTTATCATAACCATCACATAAGAGGATTTTGTAAGTGCACCCATTGTCGTCATCCTCATTATCCTCACCTTCATCACATTAACCATTCGTCCAGGGTCGCCCAGGTCATAGAGCTCAGCTGACTGAAGCAAGTTGAGCTCCTGCTCACCTGGCCCCTCCCCAAGTCAAATGTCTCTTCAACTCAGCTGTGCAGCTCAGTGGCTCCTGCCTGAGTCCTGAGAGCATTCCAGGCAGCCTGGACAGACATTCCAACACGCCCTGGAATTACACCAGACCTGGAGAGAGTGGCCTGCAGGGAAGGCCTGAGGGGAGCCTGAGAAGCTGTGGGTGTGTGGAAAAGGGGTGGGGTGACTTGGGTTCCAGTCCTTGATGCTCCACTGATGCCTGTGTGACCCCAGGTAAGTCACTTTGTCTCTCTGGGGCTCCCTTTCCTCCTTTGTAAAACATTACATCAGGAGCTGGCAAGCTTTTCCTGTAAAGGGCCAGATAGTAAATATCTTAGGTTTTGCAGACCCCCTGGTCTCTCTCCTCAGTCATTGTGATGTGAAAGCAGCTGTAGATAATCAAGTCAGGGTCACTGATCTGTTAGGCTGAGTGCCTAGGGCCCAGGGTACCTTTAGGGGCCCATGGAAATGTTTCAATCTTAATTTCATGTAAAATCAGAAGAAAAAAAGAATATAATAATCATGAATAAATATAATAATGAATTCAACCTGGATTATATTTGTCTTTATACCAACACAGTCACAAAATATAATTTTTATTTATTTAGTTATTTTAATGGAGGATGGAGCCACGAAAGCAAAAGTGCCTAGGACCCACGGAAGTCATAATGCAGCCCTCCATAAAAGAGCAAAATTTTGTTTATGGGCACTGGAATTTGAATTCCTTGTAATTTTTATCTGTCAGAAAGTTTTCTTCTTCTTTTGATTTCTTTCCCAACCATTAGAAAATGGAATAGCCGTCCTCAGCTCACGAGCCCGGACGAAAACAGGTGGCAGGCCTCATATCCCAGCACAAAGGATCTCTAAGCCCTTCCAGCTCATGGTTTGGTCAGACCTGAGCCAAGAGTGAAATCTGGGATTAAGTGCAGACATAAAGGATTTGACGAGGAATGGGAAGTCACACCCTCCCTCTAGAGTTATTTTAACATCTTGGCCCTAGAGTAAACATCCTCACCTAGAGTAGTCCAAGAAATAGCGTGCAGACTAGCAAAATTGGTTTGGGATGTGTCAGGGGGCTGGGTGTGGACCTCAGACTAAAGGAAGCTGGCTGACGCAAGCACGCCAAGATAATCAAAGCACAGGAAGGAAGCGTCGAGTTTTCTCCTCGCAGCAACCGATGCTGACACCAACTGTCCTGCAATTCAGTGCAGTTCTGACACTAACTAGTGCAGATGCCACAGGTTTAAGGGCTCAGGCTCACAAGACTGTCCTCGCTTCAGAGGTCAGTCAAAAGCGTTAGGTCCCCTGGTTCCCCACACTTCTGTCCCACTCGGCTACAAAGTTGTCGGCTGGTGGCGCCCCACAACTTTCCCTTCAGGTTCCGAAATTTGCTAGGGCAGCTCACAAAACTCAGGGAGACTCTACCTACGTTTACCAGTTTATTACAAAGTGTACAACTCAGGGAATGGCCAAATGGAAAAGACGTGGAGGAGACGGTGTGGGGTGCGGGGTGCCTGCAGAGTGTCCACGCCCTTTTCAGGTGCATCACCCTCCCGGCAGCTCAAGGTGTTCACCCACCCGGGAGCTCTCCGAAGTCTGCTGTGTGGAAGTTTTATCACGTGGGCACGGTTGATGCAATCCCTGACCACTGGTGATTAACTCAGTGTCCAGCCCCTCTGTCCTCGCCATAGATTGGGGGCGGGGCTGAAAATTCCAAGCTTCTAATCAGAGCCTGGTCTTTCTGGCGATCAGTCCCTATCCTGAAGCTATTCGGGGTCCTGCCAGGAGTTGCCTCATTAGAACAGACACTCTTATCTCTCTGAAAATTCTAAGGGTTTTAGAGCTATGGGTCAGGAATTGGGGACAAAGACCAAATATGTACGTCTTATTACACCATAGGGAGCGCCTACACCACTACCTGTCACGAGAGAGGCTGCACAGTACTCCACATGTTCCGGCTCGGCCCCCACAATAATCCATAAGGTAGGTACCACCTTTATCCTCTTTGAGCAGATGAGGAAACTGGGGCACAGAGAGGCGAAGTAACGTGCTCAAAGTCCCACCGCCAATAAGTGAGAGGGCTGAGACTTAGGCTGTCTGGTGCCAAAGCCGCGACTGTCTAACAGCAACACTACCCAGGTATAATTACATTTCTAATCGCTTAACTGATGGCCCCCAAGATTGCTTCACAGAGGTGGTTTTCAGCCAGGGGCTATTTCTGCCCCCAGGGGCTATTTGGCAATGTCTGGAGA